ACATACCAACCTGCCTTATGCTTCTAAATTGAGAGATCATTCTGGTCACCATTTGATGACGTCATTTTTTGCGTAAACAATTGCCATAGAACATGAGCGACAAATCAAATAAAGATGCATAAATTTTCATTTTGGCAAATGACTAAAATATGGCTTAATTGAGTAGCATGTAGTTATTTAAAAAGCGAGCATGGAAGAAAAAGACAAAACTATATTTTATGACAGCGCTTCCCTGCCTGCAAATATTTTCATTGAATAGCCGTAAAACTGGAGCATCAAGAAGAACATAATTACATTTTTAAGAACAAAATGCATTTCACAGAGGCCTTGGAACGTTGTAAAAATTAGAGGTGGGCGAAAGCTCAATACTTTCTAATGAATCTTTGAAATTAGATTGAAGTCGCTTAATTTTTAATTCTTTCTTTTGTCAAAAAATAATCAACTCTTGCCCCCCAACCCTCCAAACCCAAACCCCCAAACTAATGCCATAAAGTTTGTATCTCTTTAATGTTACACGACTTCATTATCAAATGCCCTTGCTCTCATAACGCTGCCTTAAGTGCTAATTAATAGGAGCCCTGTATCAGATACTTATGGATGTTCCTTTGGAGAGCTAATGAGGGGAGGAAATAACAATGTTACTCTCTTTGTCACCAACTAAAGAAGTAATTTCTGATGATCTATCATCTTGTAACCATTATTTTCCAACTTTGTGGAAAGTAAGGATATCGCGACAGCGAGCAGAATTTAAATGTTTTGCCAACCAGAAATCCTTCAGAAGTCAGAAAATTAGAACTTTTTCCATCTGCTTTCTGCTATTACTTCGATTAAGCCACTTTGCGAAAATTGGTTTTTTAGGTGTTAATCCCAACAGTCACAAAACGCATTTCCCCACTATTGAAATTAGTTGTCAAACAGACAACCAGAGACAATAAGGTTTAATTTCATAAGAAATACTAAAGCTAAAAAGCTCTTAGTATTTCCCTTTATTTGACATAACAGTAAGATTTCTGTTATAACTTCTAAATATTCTCTCTAAATCAGGAAATTTAATTTGTGATACAATGTATAGAGCTTTTTCAATAATAGCGCAACGAATCTTTCATTATCCGATGCCTCATTTTAGTCAGTATCTTCAGTGCATCGGGATGAAGCCTGCGTTTATGAAATGGGTAAAATGCACGATTAATAAATGGAATATGTTCTAGATTTTCAATCTTTGCTTCATTTGATAATAGCTAACATGTTCGTAGAGCTCAGCAACTGGAATAAACAACCTTTTAGATGCATTATGCCAATACAAGAACATCTTATTTATACTACTTAGCCGGTGTTAAAGCAAAAAAACTCGAATTTACCCATCACTAACAACAATCTCCTTTTTAGCAACATCTAAGGAGATTGGTTTGGAATTATTCTTTGCATAATTATCGGTCAAGCTGGAAAAGATTAAGCTCTACTTAAAAGATATCGAGCACTTGGGAGGCAAGGCTTGTTAAAACCTTCTCTGTATGCAGGTCTAAGACACCTACAGAAAATGGTAGAAATGATAACTGCGACAGTTATTTCCTTTTATGCCGTATAGAAAATAAACTCAAAAAGAGGTTTGAAAGAGAGGTTAGCTTGTTTAATATGAAATGACACATATCGAGGAGAAAATTCGTTTAGAGAATGTATCGATGTAGAATGTCATGATTAAAAGGCTTAATTTCACTTTCAAACATGTGTCTTGCAAAGAGTTTTAATGGCACCTGTATGTATTAATCATCGATATTTTGCAGAGTCTGTTCCCCAAAAGGCTAGCAACATGATTGATGATAATCATTGTTGGATCTTGTACGAGTTCTTTAAGCATCCCACTTGAATGTTTTATCAAAAATACATGCAACATTTGGAAAAGATCATCATTTGCAACATTTCTTGCTACATTTTTTATTGCAGCTGTATCTCTGTGCTTATCATTAAGCCCAAATATAGCCTAAAGTTATTTTATACTTTGAGTTAGCCAATATAATCTGGCAAATGACGCTGATTTCGTCGTCGTTTTGCACTAGCAAGCCGTTAACTTAAGCCATGCAGTCATCATTTTTAGAATGAAACGTCGTTTGTGTAAATTCCACTGCTTTTCCTAATCATATTCGCCAGATTAATAACCTTGAACTGTCACCGATAAGTGATTCGGTTTGTATCGATAGTTAGAACGGAGCAGGATAGAAATCTCGTAATCTCCAATGCACTTCAGAATTCTATACTCAGCGATTAACTGCCCGTCGCCAAACAGCAAACATTGTATTCAATTTTGAAGTAGCAAACTTAAATTTATTTGCTCATTAAAACTTGCTAAGCTCAATAGCTTAGCTTTCGATCACTTCCATCGAAATAATTTGCTGTTTTTTCATGAATTTTGATGACTATTTCCATTAATATTGACATTACAAGAACCTCATTTCATGCAGTTTTACGCTAATGTCGAGTTACATGCCTGTCGTTGTATCCATTGTCAACTCGTCTTCCCCGATAGATTCATCATCTCCTCGTCAAAATAAAGAAACACGTTTAGGATAAAAGTCGAGAAAGAATTGCTTAACCCGTTTGGATGCTTAACCTGCTTAACATTCAGGATTTTGTAGTGTTGACGCATTTGCTGGAATAGATTATTCAATTGTATAAGGGCTAGAAGCAGGGGCGTTACCAAAGAGGTGTATGGGGGGGGGGTGCGGTACCCCACCCCCCAACAATTTGTCCGTCGGCATATTAAGGATTTTTTGCCGGGCAAAAGAAGCTATTTTTGTACTCACCCTGGAACCTTTTTCAACAATTCTAAGGTATTCACTTTTCTGTCAGTATATAAGAACATTTATCTCTTGACCACACCCTTCAAAAACGAGACACGCCCTTTTTAGTCAGCATAAAGCACTCACTTACCCCTCCAAAATTTTATTTTGGCTTCGCCCCTGGCTAGAAGGCCGTTTATGTGTACTTTTCATTCCATTAGGGTTTTCAATTGTGCAGGTCATGCCGAGTCCAGTTTCCCAACATCCAGTTGATATTAATCCAGTTTTGTTCTGCATCATGCATCATTTACCATAACTTAGCATCGATAAAGGCAAGAAATTGAGTTTATATTTGTTAAAGAATGTAGTTTGTGCAGCTTTTTTGTGTATGACATGTTTCAAAGTTGTCAACTTGCAACTGTGGTTGTATAGAGAAATTGAGTTCGGTCAAGGAAAGCGATTTTTTTGGTTTTTTCTTCTTACTATATCGCTAGAAAATGGTCTGAAATCCAGAATGATAATCTTGAATTATTTTGTTGGTTTCAGTTTTAATTTGGAAGAAAAAACGATATTTAGGCCTTAAGAAGCACTTTTTCCCCAATTGGTTGTCCACGTGAATAGTATAGTGCACACTCTGTTTCTTGCTGTTTTTATGGTCATATCTCAATGAATTGGTTATATTCACAATGTTAGATGCTATATAGTTTGGTATTGGCATTAATTGATCTAAAAGTAGTGGTCCCGTTCATATTCAAAGGGCTTGCTGTAATGGTTCTTTATTATCGTGAGAAACAGGCTGAAACTGCTATTTTGTTTTCTTGAAAGAATTCAAATCAATGTTTTAAAATTCTGCTTGTTCTGTCGGCATTTTGCAGTTAAGTCATTCTAGTAATAGGCTAAAATTGTTTAACGAAGTTGATCTAAGTAAAGCTCTACGAAGGAGCATTATATAGGGAGAAAGGCATAAGGAATGCCAAGCCGTAATGAAGTGAATCCCTAAGAAGGGAATTTAATACTAATTGAGGCGCACATGCGTGAATGGGTGTGGTGAAATTATCATCATAGCAATTCTCTGTCTTAACTTATTGATCATTGCAAAATGCAAGGACCTGAGGCCTATCGTTGCCCCAAAACCTTCCTATCCCGTTAGTCGGGAAGAATTTTGTTGATTTCTTAAACGAACTTATACGATCTAAGCATTACATGGTTATGTGATCCAATTTGAGTAAAAAACACACGGTTTCCTTACGGCTAATTTCACAACTTAAGGAGATTAAGGATTTCGGCCATGGCGACCATTGAACAATCTAGGGATAAGCTCAATGCAGAAACAATTCGTACGAACTAAACGAGAAAACCATGTAAATCTAACTGCATTCCTTGCTAGATTTACTTATCATATTCACTGAAAGTTGAACTATTTTCTTAGCTTTGTCTCTGCATACCTAGTGTTACGCTCTGAGCGAGAAGCGGTTCAATGCAGTAAGAAAACTGTCAATCTTAAAACTTCTTACGCACGGAAAAAAGTAAACCTGCACTGTTTTTTGTTCTCCTCGATCTGCTTCTACTTTTTTCGTGCAAAGTACCCATCAAACATTTTCCACAACCTAAACTATTTAAAAAACAAACCATTTAAAGTGTTAATTTATAACTCAATAATTTTCTTTGAGCAGATGGATTATAAGTTAATTATTTCGTTTCCAGCATCATGTGATTAGAATTAATCAAACTATTTTGTTCTAAAACTTGGTAAAATTCTTAAGAAATAATTTGAATACTTTTCTTCAGAGTTCTAGTAAAAACCAAATGTTCAGTATTGCTTTGTAGTATTGAAAATAGGCCTTTTTTTAAAGAAAGGGCTTCATCGATTCAGACGGAGAGTGAGAGTGGAAGTGGAAAGGATAAGATTTAAAGAAATATAATTTGACAATGGAAATAAGTATTTTAAATGTAATTTGAACAAAATAAGTTAAATAATCGGATGTAAACATAACTTCCAAGCCCGTCCTTTTCTAAACAAGGCGGTCATCTTGTTAAGCTCTTATTCAAGCTATTTTTAGAAAAACACCTGGATTACAAGACTGGGCCCTGTCTTTGTTAGTCCTCACATTCACTTTTAGCATGTGTTTAATACCAAAATCTATCTGTGTCCATGTTGGACAAATATCTAATTGCCAATAATCCTATTCGATTATGTGTCTGTAACCAATCCTCCTTCTTCTATAGATCACTGTGTTACCACGACAACACCGACAAAAGCGAGAAAAGAGAGAACAGCATTTACTAAGCAACAAATCCGCGACCTCGAAAACGAGTTCACAAAAAATAATTATCTCACGAGGCTACGTCGGTACGAGATCGCAGTAACACTTAATTTAACAGAAAGGCAAGTTAAGGTGAGTTGAATGCTTTTGTTAATAGGAAAGGATACTCAAGGATTACTTGATCACTGATTTATTCTTGTGTCATATACATAAATGAGGCCAATTTATGATGGCTTCAACGTTTTTTTACAGTACATAAATTCCTAATTATTTGTTGGTTGCTTTTTGCGATGTAAGAAGAGGAAAACAGTGACTTAAAACTTAGTCTCTTTCAGTTCTTATAGTTAAACAGAGGTTTTTTATGTACCAAGCTTTTCCAAGGTTCAGCACTAATTGCACACTATTTAAAGATTGAAAATTATCATATAATGAATGAATGCCAGAACTGTGATGGCACAAAATAAAGCTGTTTGATTCTCGTCTGGTTCTAGAGATGAGATTTGAACTTATTTTTGACATTGCAAATGGGATTATTGGCTTGTTGGCCTACTGATCTAATGTATCTTAACATTTAAAGCACTTTATCTCGTATGGACACATGGACTAATCATGAGCTAAAGATTTCAAACCATTCAAATTCCAAAGTCGACTCTGGGTTTTATAGATATTTTTGCTATAATGATCACAAAGAAATATTTGTTGCTTTCATGCTAACGTAATATTGCCTTTTAAATAGCTCTTGCGCATTTGAACTGATAAATACTTCTAAGGTAACAATTTCCTCCTTCGCTATGTTGGAGTTTTTTGGTAAACTTACGTCCAAAGAAAGAACCGAAGATCTGTGGCTTCGATAACAGTTCCTAGTTTTAAATTTGTAGCAAGAAATTGGCTATCACCAGATAAATATAAATGATGAATGTTAATGGATAATACACAGTATTTTTTTAAAATTATCTATTTTTGAGAGTGTTACCAATCGAGCTACCGGGGTTCCTAAAATAAGTACCCAGCCGGAGCATCCTATCCCTTCCCCGCATCGGAAGGTAAATAATCGAAGCTCGTTGTTTTAAACCTGATAGAAAGAAGATAATAAGTACCCCTTGTCGGGAGGTCAAACCCCTCAGAAAGAAATATTTTGCCCCACTCCTTGTGACATTTACAGTGTTTTATTTTTAGGTTTGGTTCCAAAATAGACGGATGAAATGGAAACGAGTCAAAGGCGGTCGAGGGCGGGGTGCTCAGGGTGCTAATAATTTAAAGAAAGAAAAAACAGCGCAAAATGGCAGAGAACAGTGCGAGCAAATTAAAAATGAAAAGCCAAAACCAAGCAAAACGAAATTACAAGGTTAATTCTTGCATTTGAAAGAATGGTTAGTAAATTTATTTGATTGAACTTGGCCGATCACAAATTCATAGCGGCAATGCTCAATATTTCCCATGATGTGGAGTTTTCCGAAGCTTGTGAATTTCATGGAGCTCGAAAGGTGAAATTTTAGAAATGATCTTTCGTCTTCAAGGACAATGAACTCCTTAGGAACAATGTTTGTTTTCGAAGATTATTTTGGCCAATTTCTAGTTCTTGTTGTTGTTGTTGTAGTAATGAGGCCGAACGAAGAATCCGTACTTTAAAGAATAACGTATTTTAAACTGCCTACAGTAAAAGTTAATAGAGAAATTTTAGAAAAGGGTACGGAAATGTACCTGCAAACATTTCATGCAATATTTTGTTTGAACCAATGTTCTTCCATTAATTGGTTTATAATGGGAGACTCAATAGGAGAAGTCTCCCATTATAGGGAAATCTAGAAGTGACCGGCTTACATCTGATATACCTTCCCCAACCATTTTAATTGTTTACTGAGAAATTCAGCTTATTTAGAATGTCACAAAGGTATATGAACAACCTCGTATACTAAGAAATCGTAGCAAAGTTTTCGCACGGTTCCACCAGGCCTCTGTCACTGAAAGTCCCTCCCAAGAGATTAAACATTTGACAAGTTTTCATGATGTTTAAGCAAAGGCTAGTCTCTTTTGTTGAAACAGAATTCGCACGATCCTAATTGTTTGCGAAAACATTACGAGAGATTAACTGTATCACAAGACCTTTTAACAGAGCATCACATAAAACTGAACGGAATTCGAAAAACTAATGTAAAACTCGCAAAAAGTAACCACGCTAATCCAAGACGTCCCCTTCTGTTTGGATAGCAATTATAAGTAAAACCTAATACATCAAATCTTTAACCTAGTTCACTTAGGAAACTCGATCTCCTACTGTTGCCACTGTGTATCGTATTATAGTTTAAACCAATGGTCAAGACAAATTATTCTAAGCTTGCTCATTAATTTAATGTCGCTAAGGGTAGAAAACCATTCCCTGTCCAAGCTCTGACAGGTATGACGTAGTAATTTACTTGAGGTGGATATTCTCTAAGGAATTGTTCTCTCCAATATCATTTGAAAAAGAAGTTGAAATCTGAGTTTATAAGAATATTTGCCAGGAGGAAAAAATGAACTTCTTACAGTTGTGAATGACAACTTCAGGCTTGGATGATATCTTTAATAAGGGTGTGTCTTTAAGTTTATATGCCTAGCATTAGGGTAACCCTAGTCTTGAGTCCATCCTTCTTATTCACGTTGACGTATTTAAAACTAGCAAGGTTAGGTTACTTTTGTACTAGGATAGCTCTATCTAAGGAGTCGGGCTAATCTAATGCTAGGGTTGAGGTTTCATCAAATGATAACCCTGCCACAAGGGTAGAGATCCTATTTGTGTTGAAGATACTGATTCTGAATAGCAGGTGTGATGGTCAAACGCCATCACACTTGAAAAGAAAGTATACTCGGCCGCAAGGGTTCCATCAGGTAACGAAATTTGCATCAAAATGCAAGCTAAAGTTTGCCCTTCTTTCAGGGAATACCCTAGTAGTTGGGTGACCTTACCATTATGTAGCCAGGCTCTATATCGATATATTTAACGTTTTCTTAAAGGTTTTCCTTTTACGAGTATCTAGTCCTTGAATGGTTTCACCAAAAAGCGAACAAATAAGGATCCAATCTTGATCAATACTTTATCTCTGGTCATTGTTAAGCTTGTCAATGGAAGCTTGATAGTAGGTCCTGGACACGTTTTTCATGTTGTTATAGTTATTTGTTGCCCTAGACACAAATCATACACTTGTGGTGTCTCAGGTGCTGTTAGAATGCCATATATGGCTACCTTGTATTAAACCATTGTTTTTTATTAAACATCACAAACATTTCGAGGCAGTGACAAATTGTCAAGCCACTCATGAGAAGATGAAATAAAATGCCCTTGCTTGAGATAAATTCCCCGAGCTTTTAAAAAAGTACCAGAATGGGCTTTAAATCACATGTTTGGCGTAAATGTGACTTGTTTTGCAAGTAAGATGGCTGGGAATTCTAAATCCTACCAAACATTTGCTGGTACCAGATGCGGTTGAAAAACTGGTAGCTTTAAGATGTGAATTCCTTTTTATGACACGCAAGGATGCGGTGTTCTAACTTTAATTAACTGAAACAATACAACAACCTCAATGTTGCTAGTCCTTTTCTCTCTTTGATACTTTCGAATATTTCTACCGATTGCTTCGAATTTTTCAGCATTTCCCCGCTTATTTTTCTTTACACTTTGCATTTTATATCAATTAACTATAATTGCACCCAAGGTTGCCTTGCCCAAATTGATTCATGTTTAGTTTTCTCGACTTGCAATCCAATAAAGCCAAAAAACTCTTCAAGATTCATAACTTCTATTTTATTCGAGGCATGTGACGATGAAATTGTGACTTGTTTTGTGGAAGTTGAAGCCAGCCATAATTTTGTAATTATGTTGGTGCCACACGTTCTGCTGAATGGCGAGAACCTGTTTATCTGAAATAAAAGTCATAAGATAGTTGATCAACAACCTTTAGAAGATACTGAATTTAAACAAGGAACAAGATTGTTTCGTATCTCGATCAATTCTTGCAGATAAAGGTCTCTGTAATGATTGCAAATTTTCAGGATAAGAAAATATGTGATTGGATTCCTTGTAGTTGCCTAATTATAACTCATTCAATTGTGACAGAAAGCCTGTTAGCGTTCTGTTTCACTACAACGGGTTAAACAAAAAATATACTTATTGAGCCTGGGCGATGTTATTTCCCATAAAAGATTTCCAAAAACATGGATTTGTCTCTACCAGTGTTTGATAGCATCATGTTTAAGTATAAACCAATTTATGAGAAACTGGCTTTAAAGATACTCGTATGCAACATTTACACTGAGCTATAGTACCAAAACGTTACATTCTTCAAGGTCTCTGTACTTAAATGTTTACCCTATAATATCTGAAACATACTGTATTTACAAACAAATTACCAAAGAAAGGATACTTTTAAACAAAGTTATATACTTAATAGACCAATTCCTCCATATATCTTATGTTTATAAGAAAGCATTTGTTAGGAGATTTCAATTAATCTGTCTCAACATGGGAACCAACCCACCTGGGCTGCACATATGCCATGTGTGCCAAGTATGTTTTCTGTTTGCCACATAATTTTAACAGTCAAAATAGCTTTTTTAAAGTCTAAAATGATTGCTTTGAAAATATAAATGGTTAATTGTTAGTCCCTTGCAAAGTTGTATTATCTATACAATATAAAACAAAACAAAAATATAGAAAATTGCTTTGTTATGAAGCAAGAACAAAATGAAACTTGGACAAGTGTTTGTCAACTTTCTCATCTCATGCAAACTTTGCTGAATTTTTCTAGATAAAACAGCTTGTGAATAACATTTCTGACTAATTTTGCCAAAACGTTATAAAACTTCTTTAAATTTATGGTACTGATTCACTGTGGCTTCCTTAGACATTCTCGGCCTAGTTTCGCTAGATTTAGCGTCTTTTATCTAAACTGTCTAGCCTTGTTGGAAACATTAATTTCTCGTATATTTACTCTATGAAAACAGTAACGAATATGATTTGGCAAACACTGTTCATTTTTGATAGCTCTTGTATGATGTTTATTGTAACTTAGCAACGTAGAATTGTATTGAGTATGCTACGCTTTTCTCTTTAAGACATCACTGCCCAAAGCCTAAAAAACCGGAAGCATCATTTTTCCTAGTCTGTTTTTTATTCTAATTATATCATAGTTTCTGTATCGTTCTCTCTTCGTTTTACTTCAGAATTTTACATAAAGCATTAGATATTAATTAAACGCAGTTGTGTAAATCGATCAATGTAAATTATAACGTTGTAAATATTATCGAGAAGAATTGCTTTTATTGTAACGATGTCTTTTTAAAAGGCTAATTGTTATTGGTTAAGTTCAATAATTTCGTCAAAAAGCGTTCATGTAATGTTTTCATTGGCCTTAATCAACGTCAGTATTTGAACACTTTCTGTTTTTTGTTTTTCAAGAAAAAAGTTCGTGTCACACGCTAAGCACGTGCGTAAACCGCGCGGAATTGAGTTATAGGTTACAAATCTCCGCGCGGATTATATCAGAAACAAAACTGTATCAAATTTTCCAAGCATTTTAGACATTTAATCTCCAAACAAAATGAAAACACTTCCTTTTGCAGGGTTAGACCAAGGTTTTTCACTTGAATTCGTTGAAATCCCAAAAATAAGAATTTATTTTTATGACTTCTATGATGTTTGAGTTTTGTATCAACGAAAACGGCTACGCGCCCATTTCAATGCTGTTTGAAATGAATGTAAAGACTGGTTAGCGTGCATGTTGCTGTTCGGAAGAAACAGATAATGCTTTAGTTGTCACTTCATTACAAAATTCAATCTCCTTAATGCTTTATATGCAACCTGATAAAGATTCTACTTGTACCATGCATACTATGCATAAAGCCACCATAACTTCTACATTTACACTTTGTTCCATGCAATACAAGCAACAGAAATCCCATGACGCATTTAAGTTCACAATTTCACTGGCAATCTTATCCAGCCTTCAGGCATTCTTCTCATGCTCTGCATTTTCAAGCCCAATGCCTTCAGAAGGCATGTGTATAGAGTCCATCAATTAATATATGTTTGATGAAAGAATAGTTCCTCGCTTGATTCAGAAAGGATTGCTGAATTCAACGTTGCAATTTGAAGTAGTTGCTACTTTTGAAGGAGATTAATTCACGGGCAATTTTGTTTCCCTATATTTTCAGTTTTCATTTATTCAAATAGATGGAATCCATAGTGTCTATAGCTAGAAAGCAGCTTTAGTAACGGTTCAAGTAAAGTAACTCCAAGCTTCTACTAATTCTTCAGTGCCGTCGGAACAAAATTCATATTGGTGGGGGAGGGGCTGCCCATTATTTTCCTCCTCATTCAGTACAATGTTATAAAGAAAACATACTGCAGTTTGACAATTATTGGGGGCTCCAGCCCCCTGGTTGCGACGGGCCTGTTCTTCTGCAACTGACATTTTCTTCGATCGTTTCTAGGCGTCTTGAAAATAGACTTATTTCTGCCATGAAATTTTTTACAAGTTTCTAGAAATATCGTCATATATAAGGCTCTTAATTTCTTTGATAATTACGGAAGGCCTATGTCAAGGACACTTTTATGAAAAGGGTTAGTTTTGCCACCTTGCCCCTTCATCAAAGGACAAGAGGGAAGGTTGCTCCCCACACCCCGCTCTTTCAAGCCCCTGAACATTTTTTTGAATAGATAAAGTTAAGGAAAATATATTTGTCATGCTAAAAAGTCTTAATGAGGTTGATCAAACAGCTCTTTCAAGTATGTCTTTCAGCTTTCAATACCATTTTCGTCCAAGACTGGTGCAGTCATAAGAACTTATATTTAGATTCCTTGAATTTTGCTCCATGGCATGGAAGAACCCAAAAACTATATTTAAATGGGAACATGCCCCAAGTCATGGTCATACGAACACAGATTCTTGCAACACAGTCATTTGGCCCTGGTTCTGAAACTGATGCACCTGAAATGAAACTGAATTGAGTTGAAATGTATAATTGGCAGAAATATCTCCAGAGCGAATATTACATCTGTATAGGAAAGAATTTACTTTCAGCCTAATCAAGTAACCTTGCTCATTATATAAATTGTTGACTTGTAAATAAGAATATTTAGCACAATTATCCGTCGGTAAGATCAAAAAGAGACCTAGGAAAATAGAAGCTATTGAAAATGTACCAGATTATTTGAAACATTTTTCCTTTTACACGTGGTTACGTCTCTGATGATACGATATCTAAATCTACAACAATTTAAGTTCCTTGTTGTAGTCAAGAGTTATATCTAGATGATCAACACGAATTCGGCATTTTGATTAATGTAGAACTTGTGGCTTGGGGCTTAGAGTAAATCTTAATTAATGCTCATACAATATTGTCATTGTTATTATTTTTGACGGTATAATCTTGTCAAGCCAGCTGTGAAACATGAATAAAGGCCAGCCCTCAGTAAGATAACAAGTACAATAAGAGAAGAAACTTGTTGAATTTCCTTTAGACTGAAGAGATGAATAAGCACCTGTATCTGACAGCCAAGTGAATAGTCTTTGAGTGGATTTATGCTCGACAATTACAGAACCTGCCTAATCCTCTCCTCAGAGGCCTCGTGGCGTCTGAAAATTGTTTCGTTCTACCTAGAAGCAAACATTGACTCTTCGATTAGCTTATAGGGGCTTTCGTGTTTCTTTAGGGTTTAAAACGTTCATCAGAGAAATGGTTTTTATAAACAGATCACAGTAGAATGCTAACCTAATGCCTTTAAGTTTTATTATTCCTGTTGGCAATGTTCTACGATTTTAAACTTTTGCGTATATAATTTCAAGTATACCAAGTTACCCATTTCGTGCCCTTTCCAAGCTTATTATGCCTGTCAGGTTCTTAAAATCAAAGGTTAAAAGCAAAAAACGGTATCATGCGATGTTGTTTCAACGGTATCATGCGATGTTGTAATAATAATAATAATAAATAATTTGTTTAAAGTTGGGGTACTAAATGAACGGCTGATAGCTATAAAGAAGCTAATTAAGGCCAACTATAATGCTGGCTTTCATATAACGTATTTCGCATATTTTATCGCAAGATCGACCAGATTTTATGAAAACCAACTATCGTAAATAATCCTAATAGAACATAATTCAACATAATTTCACGTAAATCATCTAAGGAAATCAAAAAATATTGTTTCTCCTGACAAAATACTTTGAATTACGATGATTTGGATGAAATGAGTTTTTTTCGGTTTTCGTATACCGTGAAAATCGTGGACCCTGAATTGCGATGAAATGCGTCGAAATACGTTAGTTATATAGAAACCAACCTTTAAAATATGAAACTTCACTCTGTGTACAAACTTGGTTGTGTAATTAAATACCTTGAAACGGTCTTTCAAAATTGACTTTTTTATTAACCTAGAGAATTTTTTCAAATAAATCAAGCTATTAGAGGATGACCCAAAAGTGAGAAAATACCCCCTTACTGTATGCCTTAAGCCGTAAGAACCTGCACAAAAAAGATATTTTAAATTATGGGATGGAAATTAATATTTTTTCCAACTTGACACCTATTTCCTATTAGATTGACATAGGTCAATAGAAGAAAGACCTTCTTGCAACCATCTCAGTCAGGTGTTTATTTCATGCTATCTTATGCGTTTTTTTCTATAAAATTACAGAGTTGTTGCAGGCAACAAATCTGCAAGGGAGGAGTATGAAAAAGGCATGTGTCCCCTCCTTGCACCATTTTTGCAATACTTTCTTTATTCTTCCAATCCAATTGAGCAATTTTCTAGAGTTATGTTGCAGGCAACAAATCTGCAAGGGAGGAGTATGAAAAATGCATGTGTCCCCTCCCTGCACCATTTTTGCAATACTTTCTTTATTCTTCCAATCCAATTGAGCAATTTTCTAGAGTTATGTTTCGAAAATCATAAATTACATTGTCTGTAACAAGATGGCGGCTGGAACGATGCCCGGCATATGCCCGACATCAAGACTTTCGAGGGAGGGCGCATTACAACTGATTTTTCAATGTCACCTCCACAAAGTCACGATCGCTTAATTAAATTTGGTTCGGCTGCTGGAGAAATCTCTTTCTTGGGTATCCTCTTCCGATTATGTAGACGATATTCAGTTTAAATCCGTTCTAGCATGGCCTTTTGAAATCTTGTTATTTCAATTCTTCAAAATTCGTATGGAAGATATCAACCAATTTCTTCCTAGACAGACATGTCTTTGTCAAAAAATGACAAGGTGACTTTTTTATCGTTTTCATCTTCGGCAATGAGAAAAATTTTTACTATGTTTATTTGTTGCCATTCATTCAAAAAAGCAATTTCTAGACGGATTCTGAATTTTTGAATACTTTCATCCCCAGTGTCAAGGATGTGAATTCATACGGCTGCATAGTTCTATGATCTGACGTTTTATACTCTGAAGAATGTCAGACGAAAAGTTAAAGTATGACTCAAAATGTTGGCTTTTATCAAAGCCATTTTTAAACATCGTTTTATTGCGGGGGTATATCCTCATAGCTTAAGTAACAAGTATTTCTGTTATGAACGCGTACGCTGAAGTTGGGAACTTTATACTCAACTGTACCCTTGATAGAAAGGGCCTGGTGGTTGCCGTTTTATTCTTTGAATCGACATTGCCGAATACAATTTTCACTTAGCTTAGGTACCATGAAGCATAGGTTTAAATATTAGAATTATTATGTTAAATTTCAATAGATTGATACAGCTTAAATATTCCCTTTTGTTGTATCAAAAGTGAATTTCTTGCTTGTTAGTTTGTGTAGAGAGGAATTGAACTGAAAAGATCTGAATTTTTGCTTTTTGGCTTTTATTTTAATATTCTCACCTGTATAATGTTCTGCAACCAGGCCCTTATTGAAAAGTTTTAGGGTTTGGAACACTTTAATTTCTTATTCGGAGGAAAAACATCAACAAATGCATTCCATCAATTAGAGTAAAAAGCTCCCTCAGAAGTCGTTGCCAGTGCCACATCCCTCAAATCAGTGCCACAAATCAGGTCTTGAGGCTACATTCCCTCATCACAGGAAGCAACGTTGGGCCGTTGGTGCATCGGCACAAGTTGCTTTATCTAAGCAATACAATAACCTAACCTTTGATATAGCTTAATTGACTCAAGTACAAGCAGTTTAAGGAACTGGGCAGGGAATGGACAAGAAAAGTCCCACCAAAGAGCCAATGCATCAGTCCTACTTTAGATACCTAAGATGATAAAGGGGAAGAGAAAACATAACTGAATTTAGAGCCTAGTCTTTCCTAAATGAAAAATACGCGTTAATAAAAACATATGAACTAAGCACTATATTCCCGACCCAAAGCAATTGAATACACCCATCTGAGTCAAGGGACCCACACTTTCGCGCAGAAGCCCAAACTACAGAACTCTTTCTTCTCTATTATTCTCAATGGCATCAAAGAATCACATAAAGGCTTAAATACCAAATTGTAGCATGAAAATTGACACCCAAATGAGAGTAATACAAAGAAGCTAAAATAAGAACCCCTATCGAAATCAAATTCTACAACATCCCTCGTGAAATTAACTCTGACAAAATTTCATTTGATCAGTAATTTACTTTGTGTGGAGGATTGCGGAGGAGGATGCAGCTGGTCTAGTAACAAGGCCTAGATGTTGTTATGTTGTTATGGTTTTAGTTCTAGGTCTAAAGCAATGCCAAGATGCTAGACCTAGATTTTAGGATTTTCATAGAGAAATGGAGACTCAGTTTGCACATTGACAGGAAATTCGTGTATCCTTTTGCCTGAAAATGAAGATATGTCAAGCAAATGTGATCTTGTTTTGGCAGGAGCCTGAGTAATTGCCGTGGTTTTGTTGTAAACATGAGTGATAACATGGAAAACAGCGTCAACGCGTACGTAGCTGGTCTACGCCAATTACTTGAGAATATTGAGCCAATTATCAGGCAGGCAAACTCCTTAGCTGCCGTGGAAGATATTTTATTAAACTTAGAAACAACTGATGAAAACTTTCATAAATATGACCTCGTTAAGATGTTACGCCAGCTTATAGAAGTAGAAATAGGGCCACTTATCGATGGGCTAGTCGATGAAGGAAGGCTAGATCAGAGTGAAAGTGAATGTCTAAGTGCAATCTCAGAAGAAATCCTTTCATCTGAGGCATTTAACAAGGTATCAATGTCTGTTGTTTCTGCAATACAAGCTGCTGCAAATGAGATAATCAAGGTCATGACGGAAAATGGTGGTAATTTTTCACTGACACACTCTTCACTAGATAAATACCAAAGATTTTCTAACCGATATCTAGAATCTAGTGGAGATGATTCATTGCTAGCATCATCATTTGATGGTGATGATTTCATGTTTATGTCTCCACAGAAGTATAATGTTTTGGCAAACCAGCTTTTGCCAGACTTCTCACCAGCAAAGAGGCTAGAGGCACTGAATACATTATCACAGATTCCACAAACAGACTTAGTCAATAGTGAGTTCTGGAATGCTATAAAGAAGGGGCTATCTTATGCCTTAAAAGACGATAATCATATTATTGCAGAAAAAAGTTTAAAATTCCATGCAAAGGTGTTTGCTACTGCATCAGGGCATGTTACAAAAGAGATATACAACAGCCTGACTAACCATCTGATTGACTACTTTAAGGAATCTACAAGCCATATGGTATCCATTGACACTGGCCTTGATCTCGGTGACAGGCGTAACATCAAAATATTGAAAGAGCTCAGACTTCTTAATCAATTTCAACATGAACTCCCTTTGTTTTGGATTCGTTACCCTGAAAAATTTGTTGAAGAGATTCTTTTTTCAACTGTAAACTTAATGTCTGTGATACCACAGCCAGTGTCATCAAACTTCAGTGAAGCTGTTTTGAGTCCATACCACTTTCTCTCCCTTATTGATCCTTCTGCATTCTGGTTTTGTAAATGGATGCATGGAAACTATAGTAGAGCAGAACTGATCAAGCACCTCAGCAGTAATAAAATCCTTTTGAAGGAAGCATGTAAAAGCTCTTTAGACTTTGTTTTACATTGCAAAACACAGTTTTCTCCAGAGACTGGAGATGATGTTGAAATAGTAAACCATATTGAGAATGAAGCCCTTGTATACACAAAAGCTGAGATTCTTTGTGCTCACTTTATACAGTCAATTAGTATACTAGGTAGAATAATTTTATACAAGGAAGGAAGAGCACTGTTTCCAATTGAGCTCGAGGATAGGCTAGAAACAATAACTGTTCCAGATCTGATAGTTATGCTTGTTGAAGTCATCTCATTTTTGCCACCTTCTAGCAGTGACTTACAAAGCTTAAATGACTTGGAACCTGCTCATCTGGTAGCAAATATCCTTAAAAACCTTGCCACTGGTTCTGCAGAAACTTGTCTTGATTGCATTTGCAAAGATGTTGTGATGAATGCTTTTCTTCAGCCTGTGCATAAAAGCATTGAGGGGTATAACAGTGTATTGGAATCAAAGGAAAGGAATGAAGCAACACTTGTCTTGACAGCAGATATATTGGCAGAAATTGCTTCTACACATGATGGAAGGAACCACCTACTATACGGTGAAAGAAAGGAAAGGTGGCAACGGTCAAGGCTTGCCCCAGTTCATACAATTGCTCAATTTGCTAAAAAGGCTTTGAATGGATCTCTAGAGACAAAGCCATCAGATAAGGTTATCAGTTCTTTCTTATTTGTTTGCCGGCAGCTTTATAACACTTGCGAAGGACTAATGATTATGGGTAACTTTACTCACAGTGACATCATCAGCAAAGCTTTGCTCAGAACCAGAGAAATTGAAAGTTGTGATAGTGGAAGAAGCAAGACTAAAATTAACCAAACTCATCCACCAAATATCATAGGAAAGACTTTTGCACATCTGTCTCCCACCTCAAGTCAGGATATAGAGAATGCCTTCAATCCTCTAAACTTTGGTGCTTCTTCAATATCAACTTTTGAAGAAAACCATAGTTCTGAACAGCGTGTTGTTGACTATGTAACTGAAGCTGACCTTGTTAGTATGTCTGAATCACTTCATTTATCATCATCTGCTGTTCCACAAAGCTCTAGTTTTGTCAAGCCACAAAAGAAAGGTTACACTGAATCACTTATTGACAACTTGCTGAACTTCACATCAACTCCAAAAGGTATATATCATTTGATATGAATTTCAGTTTGATTGGTTTGAAATTCATGTACCTCTTTCATTGTGCTTTCTTACTATTAGAAAAGTAAATTTAAATTTTTTTCAAGTCCACATATCTGAAATGAGACGTTGTCTTCAAATTATAATTGTATGCATATCTTGCTGTGTACAGAATGGTTTCAAGATTTTACTCTTGATATTTTCATGCTGCCATCACCCAACATGAAGTTTTGATGTAACTACTTGCTTCACACATCACAATATATACAGCTTTGTCTGATATGGTGGGCAAACAGGCCGCACACCTCTCTAAAATTAGAGGGGCTTAAATAGGTGTGACCAAAATTTTTTGAGGCCACGCCCCCTTGAACGACGGAAAACGCCTCTTTTAGAAAATGCATATTTCTATTAAATTTTTATAAACAGTCTGGTTCAGAGAAGATATCAATAACTATAAAAATAGATAGAATTTCCTTGAGGGTAATAAAAAACCAAGCTAACCAAGTTAGAAAATACATTATATCATTAAACAAGATGAAACACCTAGAAAAAGAACAAAAATGGTTCCCAGTCAATGAGAATTTGTTAATACTTACATACATAGAACTAAACTATCCAAAGTTGCGTTAGAGTAAACCTTCAAAAAATTTTCTAGCCTATTATTGCAAAAAAGTGGGTGGGCTATAGCCCCTGCTAGCCCAATGGCTGCGTGGTGCCTGCAGACAGGCTAATAGAGCGGACATGTAGAATCTGGATAGGTATCATGTTTTGCTGGATGTACGGCTTTCCCTAACCCTGGGCGACCTGTGATTCATTAAAACAGAAGGAAAACTCCTTGACGTGTATGACAAGAGATTAATTGGATTATCCTGACTGGAATCTTCAATGTCACCAGCTAGTAGTAATTGCAATTAGTTTATATCAGTGCATATTTGCTAGCATTCAAAGATTAAAAACACGAATTGACAATTAAAAACTATGATTTTTTATGGAATTTGTGATAAATTCTTCATGTTTGCAAGAAATTTTAAGAGTTCTAATCTTTTGTCTATGATAATGAAGAAAGTTTTATCTAAGTTGTATCTATTGATGTACTGGGAACCATCAAACATGATTTGCTTCCTGTACAATCATTAACTTTTGAAACTGATCATTAAGATGAAAGAGAAAAATTAATGCCATCATACTTGGAAGGACCATTTAGGTGAAGTTCTAATGATTTGGGAAGGCCTTATTATCAGGGCTACTAGATGAACATGTGAAAAGCAAATAAGGAACACTGCAACGTGCCAAGAGAAAAATACAGACATAACATTTGAAACTATACATTTAGCATTGGTAATATCCCACCCTCCAGCACTGTGGAACAGAGGTGATTGAGAGGGCTTTAGCCTGCTTTTGTTCGGTAGCACCCACTTTTCTCAACAGTCCACAGTGCTTGTACCCTAGCACACAAAGTTTTTTAAATTTTACAGAGAGAATCAATTTATTGGCATATATTTAGCTACGATAAAGTAATTTCTACTCAACTGCAAGCACATCTTTTCCTTCTAGTTATGCTGTTAATATTTTTTTGATTTAGGGGTTCTGCTGGTTCAGCAAACAGGCATTCTTGATGAGTGTGCACAGTACATGAACAGCAGATACCAGCAAAAGCTTCAAGTGAGCAAAATTGAAAAGTTTGGTTATGGGGCTATGATTACTCAGATGACAGCAACAGCTCCTGGTATGCTAGCTTTGGAAAGAGCTGGTAAGAGCTTGAACATTTCATATTATATTAATTAAGAACATTGTTCAGTTTCGGGACTTGTTCCCGCATGGCTAATTGAACCAGTTTAACAAATCACTTAAATGATTTCACTGAAGTTAGGACCTTGAGACCAGCATTGCGTCACAAATGCAAGTAAGGCTGGATCTGTAACGAGGGCTAACAAAATATGTGTCTATAAAGCTTGCGAAAAGAGTAGGCAATAGTTTTTATTTCTGGTTTCTGGCTTGACTGATCTTGTAGACAGAACTTTCCTGTAATTAAAGAACCCCAGTGCAAAAGTGATGCATGGATCTTCCGCGACAAAGACATAATAAACTCAAAACAAATTTCTTGGTGTAATGTTTACATAAGTTTACTAGCCGTCAGACGCATTCAACATAATATACTTTAGTTTAGATAGCATTGCTTCTTTGCCTTAAAATTACTTGTGCACTACTTTCGTTTCTTTAGGTTACTTTGAGATTCTTCTAGAGAATACTTGGCAATGTTTGGAGGGCGTTACAAATGACTACACCAAGACAGTTCTCTCTTCAGACTGGGATGATATCGAAGAGAAGCAATGCAAAAAACTCTTCACATCGATGATCAATTTGTTGTCATCTTTTCCAAGTGTTTACGAGCTACTCTGCATACAGCAGGCTGCCTCTGAGACAGCTAATGAACACATCTCCAGCATTGGTGATCCAGTAACAAGAACAAACGCATTTTCAATTCCCAAAACTTTCGAGGAATTAATGCAGAACCTTGTTTTTGTCGATTCTTCAGACAGGATGCGTCTGCTTTTCCAGTTTGAGCGTTCACATTTGTTCGGTTTGCGAGTTTTGAGCAGTCTTGTCTCGTGCCTTGATACATTCTTGCTAATCCAATCGAAATACCACTTCCAAGAAACATTGCTGATGCTTCAGGAAAGCCAAAAGATAGACAATGGTCAGTTTATTATTGATAATTGTGGCGTGGAGAGGAATCAGATTTTAGTGAGGACGTTTTCAATTGGTGGTCCGACAGAAAGAATAATTCCTGGACGTACATTGGCTAAGGTAAAAGTAAAATTTTGAATTTGAATTAAAATAGTTTTAGATATTGTTTTTAAAAAGCATTTACAAAAATATTTTTTGACATTTGAGGAAACTAAACATTTATAAGGCTTTTTGATACAAATGTGTTGTGTAGTGAGAGTACATCGTTTTAATTTTACAATGAGCAACATTAGTTGATATTAAATTTAGGATTTAGTTAATTTTTATTATTTATTATTTTTAGGATTTAGCTATCAGTTTACAGTCCACAATTTCCTGGTAATTGCATTAAGGAGTAGTTGCGAAAAGGATTGCATTAATAATGAAACTTGGAGTTGAAACTTAGAACCGGTATTTTGTACATATCAAACCAGAGCTATAAGAAAGAAACTCGAGCTAGATAAAAAATCAGAAATAAGATAAGAAAGAAAAAAAAATTTTGTTTTGAAAAATTGTGCACAGCTTCCTTTATCGGAAGATGATAGGATGAAAGCGACGTTTCCAAATTGTAACAAGTACAATTGGACCAAGAACCCGCTTATGTTGACTCTCAGCAGTTCCAAAATTTTTATTACAAGCAATGAAATCCATCTCTAGAACATGACGTTTATTCTTTACTCGTAGATCTCTTTGACTCCTCTCTGACGATGTGTTAATACTTTCAAATCTGTTCTCATTCTCTAGGATCCAGAATCTCCATACCCATGGCCATTCTTCTCATCGTACCCTGTACCAAGTGCATATGTTCCAGTTGACTTGAATGTTGTAATGACTGCATTCGAGCAGCAGGACAAAGTCAGAAGATTTCTAACTGAAACCGGTTCAAATACATTTGACACTCTTGAAGAAGCTCGGGGTTGGTTGCTTAAGTGTAGAGACGTCTATGTTTCAACTGTGAAGGAAGATCCAGAAACGGTTAGTTGAAGGTTCAATACACTTTTTTTCAAAACAAACTCGTGTTTTCAAAATGTTGTTTGAAAACTTTGTTTGGTTAGTAATTTATTTATTTGGGTATTTCAATTGTTATAGCTGTTTTATGTTTTATAACCACTTTAAAAAATATTTTTTGTAATATAAATTCAGGTAATTTTAACGAAGTGTAAGGCTCTTAGGCAAAGAAAAGGGAAGCAAAATTCGCTGTGGATAGAAATTAATGTTTTTAAATCTGTCTTATAGCCAGCCAATGGATAATTTTGTAATAGTGAGCAGAATGACAAATGGTTACTATTTGTTTCTACCTAGCATCAAAAGGTAGTTTTTAGGACACTGCGAAGCTCTGATTATAGGGCAGTGTTCTGGTCCTTCCTCTCGATGTGACCACATTTTGTGGTTCCTACGCCTGGAATTACAGAGAGTTGGCTACACCCCTTACTCTGAGTAAGAGTTTGGTCATGGCCAGGGTTCGATCCAAGACCCTTGGATCTATTGTCGTCGACCCTAACCACCCACATGATAAGAAATTTTTTGTCACGTATGTTATCTATTTATTTAGAATGAAGCAGGCATTTTGAACGCTTATTCTAAAGCTTTCTCTATCAAACTTTTGATTTCTTTTTGACATGTGCATCCTGTATAATTTAAGGTTGGCATGAAATCAATTCCTCATTTAATGGAACGAATCTGCAGTGCACTTGCTGCAGATCCCGAAGAAGCAATCTTGCCTCTTATTGAGTATTCTGGAAACGAGTCTTTATTGAAGAGTATGCAGTTATCAGATATGGAGAATATTGGTGTTGATCTGGTCATTAAATATGGAACGACTCTCAGGTAAATTATCTTTATTTTACTCTAAGGCCTTTTTGTTCCCATATTTGTGAACATGTACAAATAAAATTTCGTTGACCCTTCATCTTGTTTTTTATTCAACCTTTTTATTTTGTTTACAACGACAGTTTAGCTGAAAAGATATATGTCATAAACTCTATAACCGCCAGTCTTTTCTAAAAAAAGGTTAGATCGTTAAAATTTTATCAAAGTTTTGACAAAACTAACAATTAGAAAATTTCAATAAGCTTTCCATATTGTTGAATATTTGCAGTGCTAGAATTTTTAATCTTCGTCTTTATTTTTGTTTTCTGCACATTTACTGATTAGATTTGATATATTTGATAGGTTGATCCCGCCAACTAGCAATGCCAGTGAGGAATTAAAGCATTTGCTTAAACAATGCAAGTTCTTTCTATCATGTCAACAACGCCAGTTCTCGTCAAAACTAAGCACGCTGCAGTCAGACTATGCTGGTTTTGATTGGTATGTTAGCTCTATATATTTGCTCATGGGTGGAAAATTTGAAAGGTGCTGGGAATTTCTGTCTCGTTTTTCATCATTGCTTGCTTCTGGATACATGTGGACTGCCAGACTTCATGCATCTGTAAGTAAACATATACACAGTTTTCCTGTTTGTCACTATGTCTGGTGACAAAAGCGTCTTTATAAATGCTTTCTTGCGGCTTTTTAATTTTACTTTTTATCAATTCTGTTTCCAGCTAGCCGCGGCTTTTATTTTTGTACAGTGTTGAAGTAAATAGCCTGAACCTCTATATAGTTCAACTTGTATCATGATAACGAATAGCATCTAATCCCGTTTTCTTTCCTGTTCTTTTCATTAAACTTTACTTGCAACGGTTACATTTTTAATTTTGGTTCTGTGAAGGTGTTGACCAGTTTTTGTTATAACCTGCTTCAGCCTGCAAAAGCGAGCGCGTAGATTTTCAAGCAGCGCAATTTTTAGCGAACGTATGAAAACCTTATCTTTAAACATCTGCAAGTGTTTCTTTAATCAACGCGGAACTAGAAAGTTTTGTCTCGCTTGCTGAAATAACAAAGAAGAAGTCAGAAGTTGATTCATCTGAGGTAATTTCTCATTCTTTTTGGTCAATTGTATTTTCAATGTTTTTGATTCCTTTTTATTTTTCTCGACAAATTCATGTAAAATAATTCCTTGCAGTGTCTTTATGTTTTGAGATCTTTATTGAAGCGATGTTTTATTGAAAAAAAGAAAAATCTTAGACGGGCATTGTTTAGTCTCCTATGTTCATTATTAATATCTTTTCTATCAAAATAACTAGGCCTACCATTGATGTGTAGGAAAAGTTAGATGTCGATCTATAAATTCTACTGTTCTGCCTTAAGATCTGTGTTTAGGGTTGGAGAAAAAACAGTGAGTTTTCTTTGATTTTGTAGATTCATCTTCCGAAAGACTTGCAAGAGAGTGGTATCCATCCCATGTATTCTTCAGTTTGTCATAACCTTGAACTACTTCTACAAGCAGAAATCCCACAAATTTATTCTGCTTTCCGAATGTCCGGCTATCCTCCCAGCCAAATCTGTCACCTCTGGTTGCGGCAATGTTTTTGGAACTACCTTGACTGGCCAGAAATTTGCAGCTATTTGTGTTGTTGTTTACTCATGGGCATTGACTATCAAATTTATTTTTGTATGGCTATTTTGAAACATCTTCAGAGAGAAATATTTCTGCATACACAGCAGAAGAACTTGTCTGTGTTCCTTCGACAATTCCCAATAAAAGATTTTAAGTTGGGGAATTATATGGACTTTATGCTCGAACTACAAAAGAAATATCGAACTGTAATATTGCCAGATTTGCAAGATATAACAAAACCTTGATCAGACTATAAACAACAGTAAGCATTGGTGTTAGTAAACTCTACAATGAAATATTTCAAATCTGTAATAACATATGTATCTCATGATTTGAGAACAAAAATGTTTACTTATTGATACTGAAATCTTTCTACAAAGTATTAATAATTTTCAGAAATAAAGGAACTTTTTAAATTCGTTTTTAACTAACATCGATAAAGTAGTTTCGAATAAAAGGACGAGGTTTCCTTTCCTATTACTTTATGGAACGTAAACAGAAAATTTCGTTATAACTCTAGAATGCTACCGATATTTTACATCTCACATGCTATTTTTTCAAAGATATACTGAAATATATTTCAACCTTTATTTTCAAAACCCAACCTGTTTTAAGTTTTTTTGTATGGCACAATTAAATCATTGTAAAATATGATGTGTCTGTAATCTGTAACGATTTAATTAACTAAACGAAAAAAAGTTACGAAATTTTAGGTCTGTCTTTAAACTTCAAAATGGTCAAGTTTTTAAAGTCATGCTTTTCCACTATAACCACACAGAATCCATCGAATATCATAAAAACTATTTGAAAGCAGTAAAGGTTGCCTTGGTGTGGGTAATTTGAAGAAAATCACGATATTTTCGGTTGATCCACTTTTTGAAAGGAAGGCTCGCAAAAATGGTCAAATTTTGAAGGTGAAACTTCTGCATCATAATCAATCAGGATGCATTCAATACGATCAGAAACCACTAAGAATCAAAAAAGATTATAAAGACCGCTGATATTATACAATAAAATGATTAGTTTTTGAGTCGAATCAATTGTCAGAAAGAACTAGAATTGAATTTTTTTTGGAATTATATTCGTTTCTTTTCTAAAAATAAGACTTTGTGATAGGGGTTGATCTTTTAAGAAGATATACGGCTATAGGCTTTGAAAATAGTTGATCAGCTTTTATAAAACAAAAACATCAAAATTGAATATAGTTTGGACTATAATTAAAGTACTTCTAAATAATCTGTGCGTACTTTAATTCAACTTAGCTTCCGAATTGAAGTCGATTTTTCAAGAAAATAACAACATTTTGCAAGGATTGGTTTTTCATCAAAAACTAAGGCTATAGGTTTAGAAATATTATCGATTTTTTCAAAAATTAATTCTTCTTGAAACAGCTTGGTTTTTTCTATATGGTCTAGAATAAGTATAATTGAACTTAGTTTTGGAATTGAAGTTATATTTTCGAGAAAACAACGACTTTTGTTGCGGTCGATTTTTCATGAAAAAATAAAGCTATAGACATTTTTCTTCTAGAAAGAGATTGGTTCTTTTCTAGATGATCTGAAAGTGCTATAATTTAACTCAGTTTTAAAACTAAGGTCCTTTTTCCGAAAGAATAATATCTTATTGCAGGGATCGATTTTTCATCAAAAAGTAAGGCTATAGGCTTAGGAAAATCGTCGATTTTTTCAAAACTTTTTTCTTCTATAAAGAGATTGGTTCTTTTCTAGATGGTTTCAAAGTGCTATATATTAACTTAGTTTTAAAATTAAAGTCCTTTTTCCGAAAGAATAATAGCTTATTGCAGGGGTCGATTTTTCATCAAAAAGTAAGGCTATAGGCTTAGGAAAATCGTCGATTTTTTCCAATCTTTTTTCTTCTAGAATAAGAATGAGTCTTTTCTAGATGATCTGAAAGTGCCATAATTTAACTCAGTTTTAAAATTAAAGTCCTTTTTCCGAAAGAATAATAGCTTATTGCAGGGGTCGATTTTTCATCAAAAAGTAAGGCTATAGCCTTAGGAAAATCGTCGATTTTTTCAAAACTTTTTTCTTCTATAAAGGGATCGGTTCTTTTCTAAATGGTCTCAAAGTGTTATATATTAACTTAGTTTAAAATTAAAGTCCTTTTTCCGAAAGAATAATAGCTTATTGCAGGGGTCGATTTTTCATCAAAAAGTAAGGCTATTGGCTTAGGAAAATCGACGATTTTTCAAAACTTTTTTCTTCTATAAAGAGGTTGGTTCTTTTCAAGATGGTCTCAAAGTGCTATATATAAACTTAGTTTTAAAATTAAAGTCCTTTTTCCGAAAGAATAATAGCTTATTGCAGGGGTCGATTTTTCATCAAAAAGTAAGGCTATAGGCTTAGGAAAATCGACGATTTTTTCAAAACTTTTTTCTTCTATAAACAGATTGGTTCTTTTCTAGATGGTCTCAAGTGCTATATATTAACTTAGTTTTAAAATTAAAGTCCTTTTTCCGAAAGAATAATAGTTTATTGCAGGGGTCGATTTTTCATCAAAAGTAATGCTATAGGCTTAGGAAAATCGACGATTTTTTCAAAACTTTTTTCTTCTATAAAGAGATTGGTTCTTTTCTAGATAGTCTCAAAATGCTATATATTAACTTAGTTTTAAAATTAAAGTCCTTTTTTTGAAAGAATAATGTCTTCTTGGAGGGGTCGATTTTTCATCAAAAAGTAAGGCTATAGGCTTAGGAAAATCGACGATTTTTTCAAAACTTTTCTCTTCTATAAAGAGATTGGTTCTTTTCTAGATGGTCTCAAAGTGCTATATATTAACTTAGTTTTAAAATTAAAGTCCTTTTTCCGAAAGAATAATAGCTTATTGCAGGGGTCGATTTTTCATCAAAAAGGAAGGCTATAGGCTTAGGAAAATCGACGATTTTTTCAAAACGTTTTTCTTCTATAAAGAGATTGGTTCTTTTCTAGATAGTCTCAAAATGCTATATATTAACTTAGTTTTAAAATTAAAGCCCTTTTTTTGAAAGAATAATGTCTTCTTGGAGGGGTCGATTTTTCATCAAAAAGTAAGGCTATAGGCTTAGGAAAATCGACGATTTTTTCAAAACTTTTTTCTTCTATAAAGAGATTGGTTCTTTTCTAGATGGTCTCAAAATGCTATATATTAACTTAGTTTTAAAATTAAAGTCCTTTTTTTGAAAGAATAATGTCTTTTTGCGGGGGTCGATTTTTCATCAAAAAGTAAGGCTATAGGCTTAGGAAAGTCGTCGATTTTTTCCAATCTTTTTTCTTCTAGAATAAGAAGGAGTCTTTTCTAGATGGTCTGAAAGTGCTATAATTTAACTCAGTTTTAAAATTAAAGTCCTTTTTCCGAAAGAATAATAGCTTATTGCAGGGATCGATTTTTCATCAAAAAGTAAGGCTATAGGCTTAGGAAAATCGTCGATTTTTTCAAAACTTTTTTCTTCTATAAAGAGATTGGTTCCTTTCTAGATGGTCTCAAAGTGCTATATATAAACTTAGTTTTTAAAATTAAAGTCTTTTTTCCGAAAGAATAATAGCTTATTGCAGGGGTCGATTTTTCATCAAAAAGGAAGGCTATAGGCTTAGGAAAATCGACGATTTTTTCAAAACGTTTTTCTTCTATAAAGAGGTTGGTTCTTTTCAAGATGGTCTCAAAGTGCTATATATAAACTTAGTTTTAAAATTAAAGTCCTTTTTCCGAAAGAATAATAGCTTATTGCAGGGGTCGATTTTTCATCAAAAAGTAAGGCTATAGGCTTAGGAAAATCGACGATTTTTTCAAAACTTTTTTCTTCTATAAAAAGATTGGTTCTTTTCTAGATGGTCTCAAAGTGCTATATATTAACTTAGTTTTAAAATTAAAGTCCTTTTTCCGAAAGAATAATAGCTTATTGCAGGGGTCGATTTTTCATCAAAAAGTAAGGCTATAGGCTTAGGAAAATCGACGATTTTTTCAAAACTTTTTTCTTCTATAAAGAGGTTGGTTCTTTTCAAGATGGTCTCAAAGTGCTATATTTAAACTTAGTTTTAAAATTAAAGTCCTTTTTCCGAAAGAATAATAGCTTATTGCAGGGGTCGATTTTTCATCAAAAAGTAAGGCTATAGGCTTAGGAAAATCGACAATTTTTTCAAAACTTTGTTCTTCTATAAAGAGATTGGTTCTTTTCTAGATGGTCTCAAAGTGCTATGTATTAACTTAGTTTTAAAATTAAAGTCCTTTTTCCGAAAGAATAATAGCTTATTGCAGGGGTCGATTTTTCATCAAAAAGTAAGGCTATAGGCTTAGGAAAATCGACGATTTTTTCAAAACTTTTTTCTTCTATAAAGAGATTGGTTCTTTTCTAGATGGTCTCAAAGTGCTATATATTAACTTAGTTCTAAAATTAAAGTCCTTTTTCCGAAAGAATAATAGCTTATTGCAGGGGTCGATTTTTCATCAAAAAGTAAGGCTATAGGCTTAGGAAAGACGTCGATTTTTTCCAATCTTTTTTCTTCTAAAATAAGAATGAGTCTTTTCTAGATGATCTGAAAGTGCTATAATTTAACTCAGTTTTAAAATTAAAGTCCTTTTTCCGAAAGAATAATAGCTTATTGCAGGGGTCGATTTTTCATCAAAAAGTAAGGCTATAGGCTTAAGAAAATCGTCGATTTTTTCTAATCCTTTTTCTTCTAAAACAAGAATGAGTCTTTTCTAGATGATCTGAAAGTGCTATAATTTAACTCAGTTTTAAAACTAAGGTCCTTTTTCCGAAAGAATAATATCTTATTGCAGGGATCGATTTTTCATCAAAAAGTAAGGCTATAGGCTTAGGAAAATCGTCGATTTTTTCAAAACTTTTTTCTTCTATAAAGAGATTGGTTCTTTTCTAGATGGTTTCAAAGTGCTATATATTAACTTAGTTTTAAAATTAAAGTCCTTTTTCCGAAAGAATAATAGCTTATTGCAGGGGTCGATTTTTCATCAAAAAGTAAGGCTATAGGCTTAGGAAAATCGTCGATTTTTTCCAATCTTTTTTCTTCTAGAATAAGAATGAGTCTTTTCTAGATGATCTGAAAGTGCCATAATTTAACTCAGTTTTAAAATTAAAGTCCTTTTTCCGAAAGAATAATAGCTTATTGCAGGGGTCGATTTTTCATCAAAAAGTAAGGCTATAGCCTTAGGAAAATCGTCGATTTTTTCAAAACTTTTTTCTTCTATAAAGGGATCGGTTCTTTTCTAAATGGTCTCAAAGTGTTATATATTAACTTAGTTTAAAATTAAAGTCCTTTTTCCGAAAGAATAATAGCTTATTGCAGGGGTCGATTTTTCATCAAAAAGTAAGGCTATTGGCTTAGGAAAATCGTCGATTTTTCAAAACTTTTTTCTTCTATAAAGAGATTGGTTCTTTTCAGATGGTCTCAAAGGCTATATATTAACTTAGTTTTAAAATTAAAGTCCTTTTTTGAAAGAATAATAGCTTATTGGAGGGATCGATTTTTCATCAAAAAGTAAGGCTATAGACTTAGGAAAATCGTCGATTTTTTCAAAACTTTTTTCTTCTATAAAGAGATTGGTTCTTTTCTAGATGGTCTCAAGTGCTATATATTAACTTAGTTTTAAAATTAAAGTCCTTTTTTTGAAAGAATAATAGTTATTGGAGGGATCGATTTTTCATCAAAAGTAAGGCTATAGACTTAGGAAAATCGTCGATTTTTTCAAAACTTTTTTCTTCTATAAAGAGATTGGTTCTTTTCTAGATATCTGGTGCTATATTTAACTCAGTTTTAAAATTAAAGTCCTTTTTCCGAAAGAATAATGCTTATTGCAGGGGTCGATTTTTCATCAAAAAGTAAGGCTATAGGCTTAGGAAAATCGACGATTTTTTCAAAACTTTTTTCTTCTATAAAGAGATTGGTTCTTTTCTAGATGGTCTCAAAGTGCTATATATTAACTTAGTTTTAAAATTAAAGTCCTTTTTTTGAAAGAATAGTAGCTTATTGGAGGGATCGAAAAAAAGTAATATAGGCTAGTCGTCGATTTTTTCAAAACTTTTTTCTTCTACAAAGAGATTGGTTCTTTTCAGATGGTCTCAAAGGGCTATATATAACTTAGTTTTAAAATTAAAGTCCTTTTTCCGAAAGAATAATAGCTTATTGCAGGGGTCGATTTTTCATCAAAAAGTAAGGCTATAGGCTTAGGAAAATCGACGATTTTTTCAAAACTTTTTTCTTCTATAAAGAGATTGGTTCTTTTCTAGATAGTCTCAAAATGCTATATATTAACTTAGTTTTAAAATTAAAGTCCTTTTTCCGAAAGAATAATGTCTTATTGCAGGGGTCGATTTTTCATCAAAAAGTAAGGCTATAGGCTTAGGAAAATCGACGATTTTTTCAAAACTTTTTTCTTCTATAAAGAGATTGGTTCTTTTCTAGATGGTCTCAAAGTGCTATATATTAACTTAGTTTTAAAATTAAAGTCCTTTTTTTGAAAGAATAACAGCTTATTGCAGGGATCGATTTTTCATCAAAAAGTAAGGCTATAGGCTTAGGAAAATCGTCGATTTTTTCCAATCTTTTTTCTTCTAAAATAAGAATGAGTCTTTTCTAGATGATCTGAAAGTGCTATAATTTAACTCAGTTTTAAAATTAAAGTCCTTTTTCCGAAAGAATAATAGCTTATTGCAGGGGTCGATTTTTCATCAAAAAGTAAGGCTATAGGCTTAGGAAAATCGACGATTTTTTCAAAACTTTTTTCTTCTATAAAGAGATTGGTCTTTTCTAGATGGTCTCAAAGTGCTATATATTAACTTAGTTTTAAAATTAAAGTCCTTTTTTTGAAAGAATAATTATTGCAGGGATCGATTTTTCATCAAAAAGTAAGGCTATAGGCTTAGGAAAATCGTCGATTTTTTCTTTTTTTCTTCTAAAATAAGAATGAGTCTTTTCTAGATGATCTGAAAGTGCTATAATTTAACTCAGTTTTAAAATTAAAGTCCTTTTTCCGAAAGAATAATAGCTTATTGCAGGGGTCGATTTTTCATCAAAAAGTAAGGCTATAGGCTTAGGAAAATCGACGATTTTTTCAAAACTTTTTTCTTCTATAAAGAGATTGGTTCTTTTCTAGATGGTCTCAAAGTGCTATATATTAACTTAGTTTTAAAATTAAAGTCCTTTTTTTGAAAGAATAATAGCTTATTGCAGGGATCGATTTTTCATCAAAAAGTAAGGCTATAGGCTTAGGAAAATCGTCGATTTTTTCCAATCTTTTTTCTTCTAAAATAAGAATGAGTCTTTTCTAGATGATCTGAAAGTGCTATAATTAACTTAGTTTTAAAATTAAAGTCCTTTTTTTGAAAGAATAATAGCTTATTGCAGGGATCGATTTTTCATCAAAAAGTAAGGCTATAGGCTTAGGAAAATCGTCGATTTTTTCAAAACTTTTTTCTTCTATAAAGGATTGGTTCTTTTCTAGATGGTCTCAAAGTGTATATATTAACTTAGTTTTAAAATTAAAGTCCTTTTTCCGAAAGAATATTAGCTTATTGCAGGGGTCAATTTTTCATCAAAAAGTAAGGCTATAGGCTTAGGAAAATCGACGATTTTTCAATCTTTTTTCTTCTAAAAGAGGAGTTTTTCAGATGATCTGTAAGTGCTATGTTAACTCAGTTTTAAAATTAAAGTCCTTTTTCCGAAAGAATAATAGCTTATTGCAGGGGTCGATTTTTCATCAAAAAGTAAGGCTATAGGCTTAGGAAAATCGACGATTTTTTCAAAACTTTTTTCTTCTATAAAGAGGTTGGTTCTTTTCTAGATGGTCTCAAGTGCTATATATTAACTTAGTTTTAAAATTAAAGTCCTTTTTTTGAAAGAATAACAGTTATTGCAGGGATCGATTTTTCATCAAAAGTAAGGCTATAGGCTTAGGAAAATCGTCGATTTTTTCAATCTTTTTTCTTCTAAAAGAGATGGTCTTTTCTAGATTCTTGCTATAATTTAACTCAGTTTTAAAATTAAAGTCCTTTTTCCGAAAGAATAATAGCTTATTGCAGGGGTCGATTTTTCATCAAAAAGTAAGGCTATAGGCTTAGGAAAATCGTCGATTTTTTCAAAACTTTTTTCTTCTAGAATAAGAATGAGTCTTTTTTAAAATATCTGAAAGTGCTATAAATTAACTTAGTTTTGAAATTAAAGTCCTTTTTTTAAAGAATAATGTCTTATTGCAGGGGTCGATTTTTCATTAAAAAGTAAGGCTATAGACTTAGTCTTCGAGTCTGTTCAAAAAAAATTTCTTGAACTAGTTCGGTTTGCTTTTAGGGACCAATTTTCTAGGAACAGATTGAATGACTTGTTGGGATCAGAAGGTCCTAGAATTAAATTGATTGTGGTGTTTTTCAAGAAAAAAAATGATTAGAATACACCAACTCGACAGATGGCTTCGTTATGGAAATTTCTCCAAACTCCATTGTACGACTTTTTAAGCTCAGATTTGGTTTTATCGTCATTATTTCAAGCCGGATACCATTTTTCATATTGATTGCTTTTTTATTTTATATCTAACGGAGAAATGAAGTTTTAAATTCGTTCCGGATGAAACTTAACCCTATTAGTCGCCAATTACGGTCCAAATCTGAATTCCTACAGATAATCCAAATCTGAGGTCGAAAATAGTGTACAGAAAAGTTTGAATAATTTTTCAAACCAAATCTGCAATTTGAATTTTTATATACACCTAGCCTAATCTTCTCGCTATGGACTGCACAGAAAAACTCTTCAACGACGCATAAAATATTTTTTGAGTGATGCTAAATCTACTTGTTCCATGTTACCATTGCTTTTAAACAATCACATGCAAATTATATTTCACTTAAGAAAATTGAAAAATTGAAATATAAGAATTCGCCCAATTAACTTTAAAATTGTTATTTTCAAAACGCTAAGCAGAACTGTGTACAGACATTTGGGCCAATGTTAGTTGCACAGATTTGAAAATTTTATCGAAGGTAATCGAAGGTAAGCAAAGTTGTTTAAGATAAAAAACGAAGAAAAAATTCAGAAAAGATCATATTTCGAATGAAGGAAATAGAATTATTCTGAGGTATTTTTAAGATATACAGGTATTTTCTACAGAATCTTTATATTATCGGCCAAAATGTTTGTCAAATAGAATTATCTGATGCCATTCATTAAAAGAAAAATCAATATTTTTTTCTGTTTAAATTTCTGAAAAATCTTCTTTCAACTTTTGTAATCAAATTTCACAAATTTCAAAGAAAATGTTGCATAATTATTCACATTAAAAGTGACAGAACTGATGAAAATAATACAACATATCAAAATTTTATATCTTTTGAAACCACTCAGAATAATTACCTATTCATGTATGAAAATTGCACATGATTAAATTCACATGAAAGATCTGATACTTAAAACTTAAAAACGACACGAAAGAAAGGTAAGTTGTTTGCTAAATTCTTAAGAAATTACTATGACAATTTTCAAATAGTCAGGTAGACATATGACTAAAACAGATATTTTATCAAAATCATAGATATATACAGTGAATGCATTTTGATCAAAGAACATTAGGTTGTTAGATTTGAAAATGAACTTTTCAGAAAAGTAAGCATTCAATCGATCAATCTAAGTTTGGCTCTTTCAGAGAGTACCAGCTCAACCCCATACTCTTCGATCTTATATGTGTAAAAAAAGACAAGAAAAGCCTTAACTTGTCGACAGGAAAACTGGCGGATTTAAACAAAAATAGTAGACTGAAGTTTCTACAACAATAACGAGTAACACATCACAAGAGCAAAAGAAGTAAGACTATTTACAGGCTAATATGATAGCAAACAGGTTTTGTCAAATTGATTTGATTTACCTTTTTACATTTTGAATGCACTAACTGACCTGGGCTTGTTTAATTTCTTCCATACTAGGCCCATAGCCTGACGTTGGACCGTAAACACTCCAGATCCACTGCACGTAGCACTGTACACTCCTAGGCTCTGGGTTTTTCATGTTAACCATATCTTCAACGTCGAGTAATTTTGGAATATTTTTCACCTCGCTAGAATAAATATCATTTGCTTGATTTATTCTTGTGTGAATCGTAATTTTTCTACAATAGCTCTAATTTTATCTTTCAAATCGATGTCTACAAAACTGCTAGAAGCTTTTCACTTTAAAATTTAAAAATAATATTTAAATAAGTTAGTTATCTTGTTAATTTAGCCCTATGAGAAGCTTGACCTATCACAGGGTGTCTTTTCAAGTGGAACAATAGCATCGCTATGCTATTGCGCAATTGCAAGGGATCACTGATCTAATTGGCCAGTCAGAGCAAGCCTTTGAGACGATACTCTAAGTCACGAGACAAGCATGACTGACAGGCTGTTAGTAGCTACAATGAAGTATTTTGTTACCGCCATTGAGGTTACCGTCAATACAAATTATGACCGATATTGGTAGACATGATAATCTGCATTAAACTTGTGCAATTAGGAATAAACTGAGGATATGATATCAATATGGCTATCAGGCCACAATCGAATCAAATGGGATCATAGTCTGATCTCATATAAGGTTTTCTCCCCATAGTATTCTAGTAGCGAAATGACGTCAAAATATAACAGCCTTTCTTTTCAAGTGGAACAATAGCATCGCTATGCTATTGCGCAATTGCAAGGGATCACTGATCTAATTGGCCAGTCAGAGCAAGCCTTTGAGACGATACTCTAAGTCACGAGACAAGCATGACTGACAGGCTGTTAGTAGCTACAATGAAGTATTTTGTTACCGCCATTGAGGTTACCGTCAATACAAATTATGACCGATATTGGTAGACATGATAATCTGCATTAAACTTGTGCAATTAGGAATAAACTGAGGATATGATATCAATATGGCTATCAGGCCACAATCGAATCAAATGGGATCATAGTCTGATCTCATATAAGGTTTTCTCCCCATAGTATTCTAGTAGCGAAATGACGTCAAAATATAACAGCCTTTGTTGAAGTTCCCCCATAATATATTAGTAGCAATATGACGTCAAAATTTCACAGCATTTGTTAAAATAGGTTACCTAGAATTTAAAAGACTTACTATGCTGTATCAAAAGCAAGTTGAAAATTCCTCTCTCTGTTTTCTGGGGACAGCTCGCTAAAGTCAAAGCTATCTGGATTGAATTTATGGATGAGTGCACAAAACGCAAGTCCATTATTCCAACTCCCACTGAAATTTTTTATTTGAATTCCCTGAAAAAAAATTTAGCTGATATCAGAATTAATCATGTTAAACCGTAAAGTTATCCTAGAAACGACTTTTTTATCGATATTGTCTGCAAAAGATAGCGTTTGAACCCAAAAAACGTTCACAAGGTCTAGTGATTATTTGACATTCAAAAGCTTTTTATCTATAAATCGTCATAGTTATTCATTTTTCGAGAATTCCTGGCGTTTGAACAAAAAAAATGAAACACGAGCTAAACTCAACTTGTTGGAAAAATAATATTAACGTTACTCTTATCTGAAAATCTTCTGGCAATAAAATTGCGAAGTTTATGCTCTCTCGGTAGAGACCTGTATCTCAAAACCCTCTTTGAGTGAATCGTATAAGCGAAGTTTATTCATTTTCTTTAGGGTCAATAGAAGAATAGTGCTCTTTTGTAACTCTGTAAGTATTCCAATGGATAGACACGTTTAAAGACGTCTGTCAGTGGGTCACTACTGTAGGGTGAGGAAGTAGGCCGTTCAATAGACGCTGATGCTTCTTCAATACATAGCTGAAAAATTGGCTTACAATATAAGTTTCTACTCACGTAATCTTTCACCATCTCTTTGCACCAATCAAGAACAATCGATGAAATGGACATAGTTCTTCTTATTGGTTTCTTCACTTCGCGCTTCTTCATGCAAGGCCTAGCAAAATATAAAGCCTTTCTTATCGTATTCATATCATAAATATGATCATAAAAAGTATCAAAAATGTTTTAAAGTCATATTTAATTGCGTGACTCTGGTAATATTGAAATACTCAGGCACATATACCTAAAGAATTGAAATAGTGAAACAAATTTACAGGAGGATGTTATTAAATGCACAAACTTGTTTTTTAATATCATTTGATGATAAAGCTCGTTGTAGAGTTTAGCTAGCCGAAATGTGAAGATTATAATAATGATAGTCATGCAAATATTTAAACTCAAAGTATATACAAATGTAAACAGAATCCATTCACAAAAAAAGTGCAAACTCTTTGGACTATGATGAGGATGGACTTGTAACAATGAAATACTGCAGATTGCAGACTGAACTCACGCTGTTGTTGAGGCGGGAGACTTAACAGGAGTTGGATCCGAGGCAAGCCTCGCTCTTTGATGGGCTTCCTTCTCTTTCTTCTCTTTCTCGAGCCTGGCCTTTTCATCTTCTTTGCTTTCTTTGAACATCTTCATTCTATCGGCAACAGAGCTTGTCTTTGCGCCCCCGCCTGGTAGCTTGAAACTGATTGGCTGACCGGTAGGAGCAGGCGCAGATTGGTGACGCGGGTGTGGTGACGGGCTTGTCTTTTTGAAAACTGAGCTGTTCATTCAAACATAAAATTATTTATGATTTATTAACCAACGAAAATATGCAGTAAGATAAGAAATGAAGGTATCTCGTATCTCGAACTGATGTTAGTGCATCGAAGTGAGAATTTTAAGAATTGTGGATGTGCGATATTTTTTTCATTTTTACAAATCAAACGCTATGAATCTGGATGAAAGAAACTTACAACATATGGTATCAAACTCAATAAAACACTTACTCTTGTCCTGTCTCCTTCAGATTACTGCGCGTCTCCGTCTATAAAAATAAGAAAATAATCTTAACATCGAAATTTCTTGTTCCGTAGAAATCTTAAAAAATTGTAAGTTTGAAAAATCATAATTGGCAACAGGTTGACCTAAAAACAGGATAATACATATTGATGACAAACAAAAATTATGGATACTTAAAGAAAATGAAATAATTTTAATGGCATGAAATTTTAAGGTTGAAGATCTCTTTAAAAGTGAAAGGATATTAATAAAGACTACCTTCTTTGTGAAACTCAATCCAAATTCTATTGGACCAGATGATGAACTTTTTTGTTCAACCTTTGTCTCTGTAAACTTCTTCACTGTGTAACCAGGGCTATCAAATTTCTTTGTGAAGTTTAAGCTTGGTTCTGATGGTTTGGTTGGTGACACCTTGAAAGGACATCAAAATTATACAGTACTACGTTTACAAGAAAAAGAACTAAAGGGGGGGGGGGTTGCTTTGAACAATAGTAAGACTAAGAACAAATTGACAACGATCTGCGCAGAATAACAACACAAAAATTATTTCTTATGCTTTTTGGCTTGCTTTCAAAAGAACAAAAAAAGAAGAACGATTTTGCAGATATGCTCTCAATTTATTTCTATTTGAACTTTTTTCCCTGTCACACGCGTGTGCATCGGTATCAAAACGTACGTGGCACATCTCATTTGGTCTAGGCCCACTTGTATCTGCTCTAAATTGGATTCCTACTTCGCAACGAACTCTGATCTTCTGCAACATCAAGGAATAATATTTTGCGATAGCATATTATTGTATTTTCGCCTTTAGTGAAATAGCAAACTAAAAAAAGAATACAAGACTCGAATGTCACTGTAAGAACGACAGGTATTGAAAAAAAAAAAAAGTTGGCACAGAAAATGAGGGTTTTGCAATAGATACAGTCCATCTATAATGGCAACTTGTTGGGGTTTTGAGCCATCTGACAAAAGAGAATTGCCTTCAACAATGGGACTCTCATTTTCTGTATTGCTCGTTTTGAACTAACCCTGTTGTATCTATAACAAAAAACTTTTACAGACCAATGCTTGTAAATATAACGAGGCTATATATTAGATTTGCAAACAAATGAATAAACCTTGGAAAGCAGCTGCTGTTAAAGCAACGTGCATTTTCATAATTGTGGCTGTTTGTTTGAAAACAGAAATATAAAGAAACCAACGAGCCATCTTAAGCGAATGGTTTTTATTCGGCAAACTCCTGCAAAAGAGTTGTGGTCACGAGAAAGAATGGTATAAGGCTACTATCCTGAAGGTTAGGTGTTCGTATCTGGGCTTATGAATAACTTAAACAACTGTTTATGGGAGAGGTTGCCGAAACAGTTGATGGATTGACCAGATGGCAAGTTCATCATCGCCTACCGATATTAGCTTCGGAAGGGAGGGTAGCTAGAATTGAAACCCCAGGGCCCTGACCCAAAAAGGCCCGTGAAAACTCCAAAACCTTCATTGGTTTATTTGAATCTTGCAACTATCTGAAGTTGGCTCTTGGATTTTCCCTGGACCGGAGCTGGCTCTCGAAGTCCCTTGTCCTACGTACGGAAAATATCTATACTATTTCATTAAGTTTAAAAATCAGTGTATAGAGAAAAGGCCTTACCTTCTCAGCAGCAAGAAACTTGTTCCTTGCAGAGCCAATACCAAAGTTCAGCGCTTTGCCAATAGCATTTGCCGCTTGCTTCTTACTGCTATCGTTTGCACTAGAGCTTCCATTGAAGCGATCGAAGGCACTGGATACCCTTGATGTTGTCGTTTTTACCTGCGATGTTTGCTGTCCATTCATAACCATCGATTTACACTGGTAGGATTGGCTCACTTCTTCTTTTTTATCTCCAATCTTCACTTGAACGGTCCTTTCTTCCTTGCGCTCAAATTTACCCGTAAACGACTTAGGCGTGTTAACAGACGTGGTACTCGTATGTTGGCTTGTTTGCTCGAATTTTTTTTCTGGCCGGTTGCCCAATCCTGATCTGGTAGTCGTTATTGTTTTGTTTATGCTAACTGGTGACCTGGGTGAGCTCTCTCCTTTGTCTTTGTTTATTCCTAACGTTAAATTTAACTGTCCCTTGGCACTACTATTCAGTTTGTCATCATTCCCATTTTCAATCTTACGATCTGCCTTTTCTTCTGTTTTAACATTTCTCATCTTTGTTATATTTTCCCCGTTTACATCATCATCTTTTTCGATTTTTTTCCCTACCACATAATTTCTCTGATTGAAACCGCCAACCTCTGTTTTATTTACAGAATCTTCTTTTTCCTTATTCGCCTCCCTTCTGAACCCACTCTGTCTCGTTTCTAAAGACGACTTTGAAGCCGTGACCTCATTCACTTCATTGTCTCTAACAAAACTTCTTGGCCTAGTTGATACCGAGATTGGCTTTTTATCATCCAGTTTGTTTTTCTCATTCCTCGTTTCTACTTCATCGCTTGTTTTCGAATCATCAGTCTGTTCTTTTGCTAATTTATTCATTCTCTCTTGCCTTCGTGCTCTCCTGTTGGCTCGTTCCTCGGCAGTTTTAATACGCAATTGCTCGCTGTCATCTGTTACACGATAATCGCGATCGTTTCTCGTTAACTGAGGCGACGATGGATTTTTCAGCGAATTTGACGCAGTCTCTGCAACTTTAGAAACAGGTTTGATCTCTGTAGAGCTTTGTTCCTTGTTTGTTATGATGTTGGAATTCAAGTCCATCTTTATATCAACAACATTTGCGTTCTCGTCCTCTTTTAAGGTAAAAGTGGCAATTTGATTTCGAATCTCCCGAAGTTCTGCGCGGACTTTTCTTCGCTCCATGATCGTGTCTGCGTCTTCAAGCTAGGGATTAAAAGAAGAAAATTTACTCTCTGCACAAGACGTTAGATGTTTGCATACATACATCAAGAAGTGTCTTGGTGAGGTAGTTGGGTAGGCTTTAAGTAGCATCGATAATTTAAGTTTTCGGAAGAAAGTATATTTTGAAATATTTACAACGCTAAAAATATCACAACTTAAATAAATATGCTTTGAACAGAAACAGCTAGACATAATCTGATTGCCAATATCTAACAAAATGTCTTCAAACTGCCCCATTTGCTATAAACATGCACCATTAACCCCAGGAAAGCTTAATTTTAATATTAATTACGTCCAAGCATGTTTTGCATACATACATAAATGGTTTTGGGCAGCCGCAAACTGCAAAAAAAATTAAACGTCAGAAAGGTCTTAGAGATATTTAGCCCCCGTTGTTCCGAATGCTTATCTAGCCATCAATGTTCGCATGGAACCTTTCGAAAGAGAGCACGCTAGTAATGTTAAAGAAAGATCAAATGACATGCATGATTATTAATACTGCAAATCACCGATTTTCATCTGCAAAATAAAAACTTCATTAGAAATGAAAGTGGCAATAAGAGTTTGCCGGCACAGTTCTCAGCTACAGAATTGCTAATCTTGTCTTTGATGCCAAAAATGAAATTAAAAAGTCTAAATAGCTTGTAGCATGGTCCTTCAAAAATTGCAAAAGGATGTATTCTTTGGATATTAGTAAGAATATGTCCTAAACAACTCCATAAATACGGGTGATAGCGATCGCCTTTCAATCATACTTTATCCCCGCCGAAATTCTATCATAAATAATCTGCCTCCAGGGATCTTGCCGCCATTAGACCTAAAGTGGGTCAACATTTAGGCAAATTTGATTAAAGATGAATTATTTCGAGAAATTATGTTTGTTTGGTAAACAGTGCTTTGTCGATGTTGTTATCTCATTGCGAGGTTAGCTTGACTCGTTCACAGAATAGGACTCGTTGCTACTCCTTCACAGTGACGTTCGGAATTGCAGTCCTAGACGTTGAAAAAACTTAGAACGATGTCAAGAGGCCGGTTCAAACATACGGAAATTACAGGGCCTACGAGTTTTTCCTGTATTGGTGGGTGACTTTGAACACTTTTCTAATCAAAATACTTGGAGGCCAATCTTTTTGGTTTCTGGGGTGAATCTAAGAGTACTTTGTTACAAAAAAGGGGATCAAAGAGACCAGCAATAGGCAAACCTTTAAAGAAATATAGCCTTTGTACACATGATGCAAGAATCTATTTTCAGTTATCTTTAAACAGTACAACATTGTAAATTACTTTGATATATTTATAAATGGTGCATCAAAGCTAAGTGAAAATAAGGTCTAGACCTTTCTAGGTCTTCTAGTAGCCATATTCGAACACACGTGAGTTAACCAGAAAATTCTTCTTGCCTCTTGGATCTCTGTAGATTTCAGTTAAAGTCAACAGCAATTGCTGTACATGCCGCAAATCTACTTCTTTAATCACAGCTAAAGTATTGGTTTAACATCTCCTTAGATATGCATCGAAAGTACCCAATGCTAAAAATTACTGATCCAGAACACTTGGATTCGTTGTTGTTATATATCTTTCTCCTCCATTATCACATCATATTGTAAAATACACATGCTATAGATGGATTCATTTCCATATACAAGACATTTGCATTTCTGGCCTTTCCATAGAAATATCTCTATTTACGGTTCAACGAAGCAAACGTCATTCGATGTCTCTGTACTGAAAGCTGAATGAATCTAGTGACAAAATAACCAAGTCAGGCTAATTGTATATTTCTGTTCTATCTATCAGTGGATTTATAGCTACTTTGACACTGCATGCAAGTTCAACATGACAAAAGGAGTCTTTAATTGCAATTTCTGAGTACCTAATAGATCTAGGCCTACTCAAAACTTCTTTATTGCGCTCCTATTTGACTTGTGCTCTTTTTGGCTGACAGCACGATCAAAACAACGACAGATTCCTTGGAAAGATTGCTTAAATGTGCTTAAATTAGTTAGCAAAAGCTGTAACAGCCCTGAGTATAGAATGGATGAAACAGTGATAGTCCTTTGCAGGCTTGATTTTCAGCTTCTCTGCACAGAAAGCAAACAATGGGCGAATACGCGGTATAATTGACGCAAGGACGTAAGAGGATCAAGAGAGCAGCTTGCCCTAGTTGCAACTGTATCATGCATCTTTAAGGAGCTATTCTATGTCAACAAAATCGCTGCATCAATGAAACTTCTCAAAAGCCGGTTTTAAGCCAAGATGTTATCGTAACCTAGGTTTCGGATCCATGCTTGGTTCTTTTCAACCATTCTGTTCGGTATAATCGGCTTTGTAAAGGGAGTTTATCTCTCAATTTGTTGACGTTTGTGCTAAGTTAATCTCGAGAAATCTAGCTCGTTTTAATTAAATTGAAATCAAATTAGTTCATAAAAATTAAAGTCGTTTACTAGATTGCAATCTGAATGCTACGTACATAGAATGAATAAACTCGTGCCAGTCCGTCCAATGTTTATATTTCGTTGTTAAAAATTAGCAGAGACTTTTCAGCAGAGGCGATTGTCAATACCGATGCATTCTGGGTAATCCTGAGTTGTTATGATTTTGAAAATTACTGTGAATGCTGTTTATAGAAGGATAGAGCGTGAAAATGTCTCTTCAGCTTTCAACAAATTTGCTCTTCAAACCTACGACTATGCCATTCGATGACTACACCTTAAATACCCCCGTATGTATGCAAATCGGCTGCCTACTTACATTGTCTCCATGGTTTTTTCAAATATAATCTTTAAAATCCTCTCCAATCCTTCTGATTAAAGAATCTTGTAATACAATAGAGAAAACGGTAACATTTCATATCTGGGGTTAAAATCAGCGGTGGAGCCACGGGGGCTTATCGGTAGGGCTTATGAACTTGACGTGAAAATGTCCAAATTTTCAAAGCTTTTACTTGCGATTAGTGCAGATCTGAAGAGAAATTCAGATGGAGGCTTAAGAATCTGCAGCTGCTTATGGAGAATGAATTTCAATCAAGTGGTATGGATTGTCAGGCAGGTTACCCAAGGTATCATTTTCTATTGCTATGTAGTTTTTAATATTACATTTTGGAAAATTTTTGGGGGCCAAAACCCTCTCAGCCCCCACCCCCTCCCGCTTCCACGGTCCAAAACATACATAGTTGCAAACAAACATACAAAGCTTTGCAAACTGACAATGAGTTCTGATGTTCTCGACACAGGAAAAACAGTTTTTTCAATATAACTAACTTGTTTTTACGACGACTCCATCTACCTAACGAGGTCACAATTTTCTTCAATTAGGGCTTGTGTTTTGTGGACACCTGAGAGCGAAGCTCACACAGAAATTGTATCCAATACTTCTTTCACAAACAAATACGTCTTTCCTTACAAAAGCAGCTATTGCAAATCTCACTTGAAGGTTTATGTTCGGATTTTCTATAAATAAAGTTCTAGAGCCTTGATATCAAGTGTGAGAATCAGCTTTGCTATGTTAAGATGATCTGAGCGTACGATTTGAATTATTACCAAAGAATAAGACTGAACTGTACTGACGAACAACACTGGTGTACAAAGGTTTAGAGTAACTTGATTTTCTACTGACATACTACAGTAGCCCAAAGAAATTAACCGAACATCAAAGGAATAAACGAGGGGGGGGCTAGGGTGCCCCCAAACATTGGAAAAACTATTTCTTTCACACTACCAAAGACTGATACAATAAACATTCAGACAACTGTCAGTTTGCTATAATACAAAATGAATCCCCTTTGTTCCAATTCTCTTCGGACAATGGTGCCCCCAATTATCGTACCCTTCCTAAAGAAGGGGCTTGCTAAATAGTCTTGCGGTCTGCAATTTTGGATAGAAAATACACTTTAGGGCTCTTCATTATAATGGATCTGGAAGAAAACTCAGAGCCAGCAGCGACCCCCCCCCCCCCTTTCCCATTTTTAACTATATCGTGCACTCCCATCTCCTCTCTAATGTAAGCAATAAGAGAAGCGATTCTAGCCATTCAAATATTTCCTCTCTTGCGGTACATCATACTATTCCTAACAGGGTGCTGTCATGCCCACTCTCGAATCATTTCTTAAATGATTGGCATTTGTAAAAACGCATATCTTGGTCTATATAAGTATCTTTATGATTCTAACAATGAATAAATTTTCACAAATTAGAAGTAGGCGTTTTATTATTGGGCGTGGTCAAAAGGGCGTGGTATATTGTATCTGAGCCTGACCGTCCCGCCAAACCTGGCTTTGCCACTGATTTTAAGCATACGTCTAATCTGCTTTGTCGCTCCCTTGTTAAAACAATATTTGTATAAGAATTTCAATTTCCTTTCGGAAAATGGTATACATTTTGAAGACATCATTTATGCGACTGTTCAAATCACGATAGAATAACAAACATGAGTGTTAGAATCTGAAAATAAAATCAATAGAAATAGAATCTTTGCACTAGTAAACAAAGTTGATATTTCCCTGCTCTATACTTCTTGCGCCTATGCAAATAACTTTCCTATAATTTCAAACTTTGCTTCTTCTTTACGAGTTTTTAATTAAGTAAGAAAGTGTGAACTTGTTTCTTAATTTGTTTAAATGTAAACGCTACCGAACTGCAAGTTTCTTTAAAACCGTAACTTAATCCGTGGATGAGTGGGTTTTTTTCATGCTTGACATTTGCAACGGGCTTTAATGACTCACAATATTGGGACAAATTATTGTAAAATACCGCTAAATTTTCAGATAAAAGACATAGGTGAAATATAATAAAAACCAGAGATAGACATATTTTGATTATTCTTTTGTTAGGCGATTTTTAAATCTTTAGTAGGTGTTCCGTAATAAAAGTGGTTGAGTGTTATTAATGAGAGGTGGCGCCAAGCTACTACAGTATTCACTGTGGTTATCAGCGTAAATATACCAATTGAAACATAGACCTTTATATTTTGACTAAATCCCGTTACTTTTGAAAGTAATTTTCACTAGAATTAAGCATCGTTTTGGAGATTTCTGTTTTAGATTTCCACAGTCAGAAAATTTTTAACTATTAAATCTCTGAGAATTGTTAACTCAGAAATCCAGCATTCTTTATTGTATTTTCCTTTCATTATCAATCAACTCCATATGCAACAAGAAACGACATGTAAAAATCTGTGACTTTATAACATACATGCTAGTATTAAATAAGCATTTGCATTTTCATGCATCCCATTTTTGTTTACTTTCAAGATATACACAAACACATATAGGGACTCAATTGCTTTGGTGTACGGGGAAGCATGAACATTTTTATCATGCCCTTATTACGAATAGAGAGGTAGAGGAAATAGACTGATTACAAGCTCGCGAGCTTACGACCCAGCAACGGAGATTCTCAAACGTCAACATAACCTAGTGAGATTTTGGAAATCTCAAAAACCAAGATTACACTTAATCCTTTGAATCTAAACAACCAAAATTACACCTGAAAATCTTAAACAGACAAGCAACTTGACTCTTGACCAGCTTTGAAAGTTGTTTGAAATTACTAAGGTTTCTTAGTCCTCAAACTTGCTCAAAATTCACCCCCAAAATGCTCATCAACTCGTTTTTACTCAGGGGTTCAAGCTGAATTCCAATGTCTCTCGATGCATAGCTATTATCGGAAGTTTTTACTTTTCTCCCTTGCCGAAGTTTGAGGATACTTAAAATAAAGTTTGATTTTTTTACCCGATGTTGCCCAGGGCGATAGCGCTCGTATCTTACCCGTTAATACGCATATAGTATTTCCTTATATCAAAAGTTTACCTTAAAAGGATTAACTTTATAATTTTGGTTGATCTTGCGGTTAGATTACTGCAAATGTTTTGTTTGGAAAAACGCTATAGCTTTAAACCTCATTTCGTTACATCAATTTGAAACAATATCTTCCTACCAAGCAATTTTATTTTATTTGTCACCGTTTAACATTTTGTGTACTCATTTCCATACTTGCTAACGAAAAAACATCCAACGTTTAATCTTGCAGTCCTTTTTAGAAATGAAAATTAAGTTGTTTATGTCTTCCAGTAAGGAATTTATAAGATATGCATAGTCAGTCAAGAGATTTTTAGAACAGATAAAATTAGGGGCACCATTACAGCATCAGAAGCCTTAACTCATAAAAGCATCAGAAGTGGAATGGCCCATCAAATACAGTATTCAACTGCGCCACGTTTATTTAACACACATTTCTCCCGTTAAGAAAGAAAATCTCTTGGTGCAGGACTCAAGGTAGGGTTTGGCATTAAACCGTGTTCATTAAAACTGGCTGAAGGAAGTGCCTCAGTATCTTGCTAATGAAGAGACCTGACTCCGAGTTTCCATTTTTTTAATGATTCCCTAATTACCCCTTTAAGAAAGTGAGGCTAACGGTCCTGTGCAATGCATTTCCCTTTTCTGTGTCGACACTTATGCTGATATTGTTGTCTCTAGCTTCAGAAAAAAACAAACCGCATTACAACGACCTTTCAAAAACTAATAATTTAGTTGTGCTTAACTTAAGAAGGGAAACAATTCAACGCTAGGAAAAGGCTGTTTTACTGGTTCCTATTCTACATGGAAAACCGAGGTAGAAGCTGAGCCTGCTTGGACTCCAAAAGTAAACAATGACATCGGAGATGCCATCGCGACATCAATGTTTACAAAAAAACCTTTTAAGGTAACTCATTTATCTATAGATGGGCTTGCAAAAAAAATGTGGTGAAATATTGGCCAGCAAATTATAAAAGACCCTCATATTATCTAAACCCCTCATATTACGGTAGATATTACGATATCATAAGGGAATATAACGCCCCTTCCCCATACCCACGTAAATAAATGGAATATCATTATGTTTTGTATTTCCCCCAAGTTCCTGTGACCTGCGTTATTAACTCTACATCTTTGCACAAAGATGAAGCTGCCAGGTTTCCTCATCATTAAAACAGATTTTGCGAAATCATGTAAACTGAGACGACTAATAACATAATGAAATATTAAGGTTAAAGTTGAGTACCTTGCTTTTCAGCTGTTCCTCTTGTCTCTTTAAAGCTTCCATCGCACCCTGCTGCAGCTGTTATTCACTTAGAGCTTCACGTCTGTTATTTCAGTTCAATGGTTTACCTGCCAGTCAGCAATAATGCAAAGTTTGGTTATCTGCTGAGAGAAAGCAAAAGAACTGCAGTTGGAGAAAAGGCAATCCAGGATATGGAAACGGTCTTTTATCACGATTTAATTGTTTATATCTATGGGAACAAGCGAGGCATAACAAATGTTTGCTATCGTATTATGCCTTCAGTCTTAGGATCACAGCTTTTTGTTCATTGTGTTTGCAGACAGCAATCTGCTTCACTTTGAGTAAGCTGTGATGCACTTTGAAGTCCGTAACCTCCTTCAAGTGCTGTGCTTATCGGCGTTGTTTTGAGCTCATCTTACCGCTATGGAAGAACCAATTTTAGTAACGTTGAAGAACCAATTTTAGTAACGCTGAAGGATGCAATCATCAAAAACAAGAACAAAAACATGCTCCGAGATTTTTGAAAATGCCCCTTTTCTAAGAATGCCCCTGTGGGGAGGAGCTCCTTTTTTGAGACAAAGTGTGCCCCTCCGTACATATGCTCCTCCAACATGGAAATGTTTTTTACGTCTATGATGTCCTATCTAAAATAGCGAGGCTGTGACGATTAAAAATGAATCTACAAGTTTTTTTTAACAACTTACAATGGGTATCATTAGTTACCGATGGGATGTGGCCCATCGCTGTGCTGAATGTGCCTGGGCCCTTTATTTTCTCGTCGATACCCGATACTAAACCTTAAAGAAAGTCTTAAAAACTACACTCTTTTTTTATAAGAACAATTTTATAAGAACACGAGCCTCAAAACTGACCAAAAGTTAAGAACAAATTAAGAACAAGCAGAGGCTGAGCTTCTGCAAAATGCAATTTTGAACAACGTTTTTTCTCAAAATCGAGGACTTTTGGCGATGTGTAGGTGCTTTTTCGGTGAATATTCAAATTTGTCAGCAAATTAAGGCTTTCTCACTCACTTTGTTGGTAAATGAGGCCTGAACACCTCCTTAGAGCGAAAAAGCTAGCAATAGCACTGCTAACACCCTCTTAATTTAAGAACAAATTAAGAACAATCCAGCCTAAGATTTTCGAAAAAAATTAAGAACAGTCAGCCTGAGCTTAAATTGACTGGTTCTTATAGAAAAAGAGTGTATTATAAAACTCATGACAGCCTCCAAAGAAAATCGACCATAAAATAATCGACGAAGCTTATCTCTTCAACGAGTCAAATAGAAGAATTAACCCCCGCAGCCTTCATCTTCCCAGTTGGTTGAAATATATAAAAGTGGCATTAAATGCTTCATAATTGGTGTCCCTGTCACCAAGAATTTGCTTGGAATCAATGCACCTCTAATTGTTTAAGTACTGCGTGTACCAATTCATTTTTGCCACCCTTCCTAGTGCCAAAAAAAAATTTCTGGGTTGGTATAGGACCTTGTGGTACGTTTCCCTGACGCAACATTTCTCCAGCAACACATATTCTACACTTTTTTGTTGGTAAAAAATACCCTTTTACCTTTTGAGTATCCCCATAATATAAAGGGATGCACTTTTTCGTCATGACCCCAACCTTTCCATAAGTTCCTACACTCTTGTCTCGGGTTACGGGATTCAGTTAACCTGCAATTCTAACTGTTACATTGTAGACACATTTACGAGAACCGTTGATCTCTCCATGGGAAATCTTAGCACTATCTCAAAGACGCTTGTTGTCAAACAGCGCTTAGCCTGTATTCTAACATTCAGAGATCTTTCAATAAACAATATTTCTCAAATATTCTAATCTCCTTTAAAAGTTAATCGGTAAATAAAAAAAAAGACCACTGTAAAGTAATCTTGAGGTTAACGATCCAAGACCATTGCTCATCTGTTTTATCTTATTGTTTTTGGCAAGCTTGTCATCAAGGAAACAAATAGTTCAATAGATTTGAGAAATATTACTTTTTGCGATTTGCTAGGTTTGTTTAAAAGCTTTCTTGTATCAAATATGCAGTCAAATGAAAACATTTTTGACCCTGTTTACAAAATCAAGAGACATCTGGAGCTCCGATCACAACGTAAAATTTCCAATGTTACCAAAGAAGTTCATGCAAGCATAGATTTTATATAGCCTTTGAGGTAGCTAGCATTTTTCATAAGAAATTTCGATATCCTTTTATCATTGCAATATAGCATGGAGAGTGACCCTTTTTCTCGTGACAATCCTTTATTCTTTATTGATTCAAACCAATTTTGTACTGCTGAAAGTTTATCGATGACTAGAACGTTTTCTTTACTGGACAAAGATGTAATCATTTTTTGAACGTATACGATCAATTTTATTTTCTATACTTGTAGACGAGACCAAAATTAAATTTTAAACACCACCACCAACTATTTTTCACTTTCAACGCCACCATCAACTAAAACTACCATGGGTGCCAGAGCTTCCAAATTTTGTCTAGGAAAATTTTTTTATCTAGTTCTAGTGACAGGAATTCCCAAACGGATCTATCTACAATTCAATATCGCCAGTTTCTTCGAGCCTACGAACCATATGTAGGCTGAAACAAGAGTTTTAAAACCTTTTAGAACTGTTTTCAAACAGTCATGAACTTTTCTATTTCATATTTTATTAAAAGCTATATATGCTATCTATAGTTTATATTACATGAAGTCTATCGTCATATTTTTATATTTTCATTTCTTTTCCCAAATAATACTATTTCTGCAGGTTCCCAGAGGTGGGATGCGGGTGGCTGAATTTTTCCGTACAAACTGACATCAATATTTAAAAACGTTTGTTTGGAGCGTCGTTTGTATCTATATTGTATCTGATAACTATTTTTCTTCAAATCGATACAAATTTTGATACAATGTTGAAACCTGCACGGAAAGCTCCACCATGCTCTGAAACACTTCGTTTCATTTTGGTGCAGTTTAAGAAAAATAGACACGTGTCGAACATAAAGGGCCATAAAGCTATTCCGTTATACATCATTTGCATGGATATATTCCTCCAGCATGGCACATTCCAAATTTTATGAAAGCAGGAAATCCTAAAGAATCATTGGGGGAGGGAAGGTGCCTTGTCTGTAAACTCAAGTGGTTCCTATCCATTGAAAACCTTGCACTACATTTTAAGCGTTAATCAAGAGCACCTAGAAATAAAGACACAAATTGTAGTGTTTATAAAAAGGAAGAAGGCCACTGGTCTTGATATGGATATCCTGGATCCGAATTTTTATGCTAATAATTAGACTTTGTGTAGTGAAAGTTCTCAAATAAGAATATTAGTGATCGTCAGAACTTCAAACCCTAGATCTGCTCTTACCATTATCTAGACCTAAATCTGCTTTTAACAATGCATAGCGGCATCAACTGTCGTGGTATCTTGAAGTATTCAATTGCAGTGTTTAATACACTTCATGCTATATTTAATTTGTATGTAATTACACAACTTTATCTACTTTTGTAATAGAAATTTCAATATTTAATCATAACAAGTAACTCATGGATGCTAATGATCAGTTGATGCAGACAGTCGAAGTTTTCGTTTTTCTCTTAAAATTTTCGCGAAAAAAACGAAGGAAGTAATGAATCAATTCGTTCGGTGTGCGATGCTTGCAAAGCTGCCATTTAATTAAGTCTTCCGTTTGAAGTGACTTATTTCATTATGTTATCGAATCAGTGAAAAGTCATCTATTAGGATTTGAATAGATGGCATTCCTTCAGGAAGACATGGCATTGACCAGGTTGTGCTGCGGCAAGCTTGTAATCTTTTCGCTTTCTTTCACTCGATACTTATGGTTAATTTAAAGGAGTTTATGACTCCTGCTGGTTGTTTGCTCGTTTTCGGTAAAAATTAGAACAAAAAAACTAAAACGTATTCATTTTTTGCTATCGTTTTATAATAGTCATCACAGACCAATGCCTAGTATAATCAGCTGGCTACAGGCTCCAAGCTCAGTGTCATCCACGCCTTCCTTCTACACGTTGCCATTGATAATTTTGAATGTGCACTATTTTGGCTGATGGCTGATGCTCAAGGCAACAGTCCAACAAGGCAAGCTACACTCTTTTATATAAGAACACTTTTTCAAGAACACGAGCCTCAAAATTTGATAAAACGTTGAGAACAAATAAAGAGCAAGCTGAGGCTGAGCTACAGTAAAATGCAATTTTGAACAACGTTTTATCTCAAAAAACGAGAATTTTTAGCCACGTGTGTGTCTTTTTTGGTGAATATTCAAATTTGTCAGCAAATGAAGGTCCCTAGAGTAAAAAGGCAATCGCACTGCTTACCCCCTATTGATTTGAGAACAAATTAAGAACAATCCAGGCTCAAATTTTCGAAAAAAATTAAGAATAGTCATCCTCAACTTAAATTTACTGGTTCTTATAAAAAATGGGTGTACTTAGTGCGATCTATACACCATTAGCAAGGCCCACGCCATGAATTTGAAAGTGGGGGGCCAAGGCTAGAAAAGTAGGGGCCAAGGCTTCTGCCCCTTTTTTCTGCAGCTTTGAAAGTACTTGCTTCGCAAAAAGATGGCATCGGCCCAGGTTAGAACCGTCTTGTATTTTCACTTCGTTTATCCTTTTGCTTTACGTTTATCTATTCCAACAAAACGATTTTTTGCCTGGCATTTGTTTTTAGTAAAACAATGATTCTGAAATGGGGCACTCAATCTCATCGCACTTTTATAGCATGCAGATAACACCAGTCATACTTATTATCGGTTATAGAATCAATCAGAGTTACTATTTTTCAGTTTTTCTCTATTCTAGCTAATCGAACAACTGTCATGAACAAGAGGTTCCAGGTGAAAATGGCAACTAAAAGTAATTCTGATCTTTCAAAAGATCGATCGATTTCACCTTTGCTTGATCTTTCAAAGGTGGCCACGTCAGTAGGTATCCCAAACGTTTTGATCCAAAAAGACACCTACCTTTTTATTTTTCCTCAAAAGCCTCCACTCATACGATATCTTCAAACAATACTGAAGCAAACATCAATACAATCTCATTTCTTTGTTGAGAATGATCATCAACCATGCAAATGTTGCTATGATGTACGGAGAGTTTTGAATGTGTAAAGACGCAGGTTCAACCACATGGATATTAATCACCAAGGTACTTAAGTTTTTGGATCAGAAGAGCATAAAAGCTTGGATTAGAGTGGCCGACAAAGCAACATCAGAGCTTGTCAATATTCAAAGCAGAACTGCGAGGAAAAAATCTTGTCAAGATAAGCGGACGAACGGAAGATAAATGAACTTCTCATCAAATCACTCAAGGCTTCTTGGGAAAAGTTGTTGTGCAATCAAGAGGTCACGCCGAACCTTAAAAGATCCTTCGACAAGTGGAACCTTGTTGATTTTTAGATCAGCAATTTTTACCAAATTTCATGTTAGAAGGTGATGCCTTGATTACTCAAAAAAAATAATGTTTGAGCTGGCAATTAGTAAGGCTTACTTAATTAGTAAAACTTGTCTCTGAATCATTTTTCACATCGATCACCAAACTGTAACGTTCTTTGATTCCTTCGATTGATTCAGAACGATCCCTCAAAAAGCAACACAGCGGTAAGGAAGCACAATCGCGATACCATGCTCGATGAGAGCATAACAGAATGTAAGGGTTTCTTATTGCCATGGTCAAAAAGGGTCATTTCAGTTTTTTATGGCTTTGGTGTTGTTTAGAAGGCTTGTCTTTAAAATAATTTAAAAGATAGAACAGCAAATCATGTAACTTATCCTCTACACCAAAGTTAATTGAACACGTTGGCGAATTAAAGTTGTTAAGGTAGTTCTACACTGACGGACACATAATTAAACGAGACCAAAAAGTGAATGAGTAAGGACTGCTAGACATTTTTATCGTTAACACCGAAACTGGATTCATGGGTGGGGGCTGATTAAGTGTTGATAGCTAGATTATTTTATGTTAGTTTCAGTCCTTAGCCATAGAGAACAAATCGACCACATTGTGACAGAGTCATAACTATCCACGGACATTTCAAATTAAAACTTTGAGGCTTGAGGGGAAGAAAGTGAGTAGAAATATTTGAATAAAGAATCTAATGCCTCATTCTTGTGAGCTTTACGGTTCCATTTAAGAAGAAAAGCTACAAATATGCATAAACCTTAGTATTAAATGAATTAACTTTCTGCGTGAGAGTCTAATATCTTTTTTATCGTTAATAAATGCTTTATAATCCACATCAACATCCGTATGAATGGTTCTCAAATACTACTGAGATGTCTGGCCCCAAGTCGTAAGTCTGAGAGGGTGGGGTGAAAAGACAGCAGAATTGAGTGAAAGGATGTAATAGATTGGGGTGAAAGGACGGGACAATGTTCCAGACTGATCATTGAAACAAAACCCCTTTAAAACAACATGATTGATCAGAAAATGTAACTTCATTTGATATCCTTAACGAACAACTAATAAAACTTTGCAAAAAATTAAGCTTTAAAATGCTTTCCTTTCGCTACATGAGTTATAATGCTTATGAAAGTCAACCGAGACATGTTTGTGATTCGATGTTACGTTTAAATCATTTGCTAAGGTCTAACACAAACCAACGCTTCCAGTACAGATACCCCATATCCATGCAGAAGACAGGTCTGTATAATACGTGAACCTGAACGAAACCACACATAAATGTACGAAGTGAGGGAACGAGACATTAGAGGGCATATATTGGTTTTCGGCTATTTCATTACCAGCTTATCTGCAAAGCAAATGACGATTAAAAGATTTAGCTACATTTATGAGGTAAAAATTTAGCTACATTTGTACATACCAAACTAGTTGCATGCCTGAAAGACAACATTGCCGGTAGAGGTCTTTCTTCGAGGCAACCACACAAGTATTGAGTCACTCTACTCGTTATTGATCGTGATTTCAGAACATGAAAGTCATTAATGCCATTAATATTTCATGAGCCAAAACGATATACCGTAAGCAAGATCCTAAGTAAATGGATTTTCCCGATGAATGCAAGCAGGTACAGGTAAATTGGCTTATATGAAACCATCTATTCTATCAAGATAATGAAACCTAGTGTCTTTTTGTGTCTACTCCTGCAAATACAATCAGCTTTGGGATTTTCTACGGTGTTGTCCTGAACTGATTGGCCTAGAAATTAAGTATTCTTTTAAGAAACTAATGCAAAACAAAGTCAAAGAATCGAGGAAACTTTTGCTCAATTTCAGCACAGATACATGAACACGATGATTAAATGACCAATGCAAAGTGATAAGTGGTAATAAAGGGTCATTGAAAGTAGAGCTGGGGACTTCATCCCCACACTAATTATGAAACTGTAGCACATATAATGGAGTGTGGATGAAAAGCAACAATTGCCGCGATTTTCTCTCAGTGCCAAGAGAAGAAGAACAGATTTATGACAATAGTAAATTTCGAAATATGGACGGTATGCTTCGTATCATCTGTACAAACAAGAGTAATTCGAAAGTTTGCATCCTAGCTAAGCTTGCTACTGGCTGCTACTGTTGTCCCGTGAGACCTTTCAAAATAATAACAAATGTAAAACTCCCCATTAGGCCCTAAGGAAAGTTGATCAGATATTCCACATAAGTGAATGCACTTCTGTTTAAAGTGCTATTCTGGTTAATTTGAATCTCTGTTTTCTGTTAATTTGTATTTTTTGTACATGGTTACTTATTCGCTACCCCGTCCATTACGGCCATATATGCAAACTCGCTTCAGTGTTCTCGTTTTGCCCTCAATGGCATTACAGTAAAAAATGCTCTTGTGCATTAAAACCAGTAGAAGTTCCTTAAAAGACCCCTGCATTGTTTACGCCTTTATTTAAAACTGAATCTAGGGCAGCTCTCGAGATAACAAATACACAAAAGTGGGCATTATTCAAAATAGAGTTCAAAATGATGACGTCACAAAAATATTTTGTTAGAAGACGTCATCACTTTAGACGCCACAACCTGAAAAAGTATAATGAAAAACCACTAAATGTGCAAAAACAGTCAATTGTGTTACGAAGTGGCAGAGATATGGCCACATTTGTATTGGCTCTTTCCCCATCAAACCTCTGTATTTTGGTCTCTATTCATGACTTTGTGAACAGAGCCAAAAAAACAATGATTCGTTAGCAAACTTCAAATCTTTCATTGGCCATATCTCAACCAAGTTTAGACATATTTGGCCAATTCTGCATATTTGAAAAATTCAAAAATTCTAAAAATATTTTTTGGTGACTTGACACTTAAGAATTTTATTATGACAAGGGATTGAAGATGGTAAAAATGATGCAGTAGAAGCTCATAAGTGGCTTGAGGTTCTCGTTTTAATTTTTGGTAAGACTGTAGCCTGTAGATCAAAGCCTATATCTAACGATTGGGATTTGAAAATGTAGGACAACACCAGCTACTTTGTAAAATAGGGGCCTTGGATAGGTTTATTCGAGGGGCGAATCACCTATGAAAATCTCGTACACATTTAGTGGAAATCCTATTGTTTTATCGGAAAATCGCTAAAAATTCTTTTGCTTTGATTAAAATCCTGTACGATATTTACAAGAGTGAGCTGCCCCTCGAGTATATCAAAAGAGAATAGAATAAGGGGTTGCGAAATGCACGATTGTGAAAGGGATACTAAGAGAAATTCAGCAACCGTGAAAATGTGAAACTTTCAATACTCAAAGGTGAAACTTTTCAAAACACTTTCAGTGCAGAAAAACTTGTGTCGATTGAGGGAGATTGTTGGCGAGCTGAAAGTCCAGTTCAGCAGTTTTAATGCAAATATTCTGGAATCTACTATCCTGTATATTTCAAGAAAGGAACGCTTTGGATGATATTTCCAATAAGTATCCACTTATTTGTTACCTGTAATTTCCTATAAATATTTTTCTTTTTTTTGTTAACATTCATTATATGTTCGTGTAGCGCTCGTATTCCAGGAGCGTAGCGTGGGGGATGTAGGACGAGTGTCACACCCCCAACCCCAAACTCTTCATGAGTTTTTCGGTAAATTTTTAGTTGGTGCAAAAATTCTATGTTTTGTCGGTAACATTTCTCTTTATCTATGTTTTTATCGGTAAATTGTACTACTCATGACCCTCCACCCCCCCCCTCCTCATGACCTCCACCTCCCTCATGACCCTCCACCTCCTCATGACATCCCACCCCCCCTCATGACCCTCCATCCTCCCTGTATATTAAATGTCACCGCTGATTATAAGTCATTCTTTACATATACAAACTCTCTTATACAAATACTTCTTCTTTGCCTCAATATTCTTTACAAAATTCAATTGTGAGCCTAAGATTATTCTTGAATTATTCTTGCCCAACACGAGGTGAAAAATCGCTATTATATCAAAATAAAATTCAAACTATTTTGATGTGTTGCTTCATCATTTACATAAACATTAACAGAACAGAACAATAAATGTTGTATTAAAATTAAAGATCTAGTCACCAAGATGTACTACATATAGTTGAATTGGATCTGCAAGCAAATAGCCTCTCCTTTGATCAATATTATTCAGGAAGCTGTGTGTGACGTTATGTGATTCTGTCCTGGCTGCGACCAGTCCCTTGGTGTCTGGGAATTCTCTAAATTCTTACGTAAGCCACCGTGTTGACAAACGCAGTTTTTTTAGAAATATATTTTTATTACTGGATTTCAAGTGTTGTCTTTTGTTACCATTAAAAGTTAGCATTAGGGGGCTTTTTCGTGCTATTGAAATTTGTGAAGTTACTAATATTAATTAAAAACTTAGACAATACTAGTTTATTAGTAAACAATCACGGACGAGAGTAAACAATAAGTTGCTTTCAATAGATTCAGTTAACTGGTGAAAATTTTAAAAGTATTTTAACCAAAGTAAGGATAAAATGTTTGTCAAAATTGTGAACCATTTCTGAATGCATTTTCTAAATATGTTGACAGTTTTCTGTTCATAAATCTCAACATTTGGATTTCAATTTATATTTGTGCCAAATTACATTGACCCATTTTTCCAAAATGTCAGAAAATATCAAGTCTGGTCCAATTTTACCAATAGCTATATTTGTAACTTTTCGCACATGGAACGTCAAAAATTCTCACAATTCAACAAATCTTGCCCTTTTCTAACACTTTTGGCACGAAAGTAGTCGCCTCGGATCAACCACGAGGCTCCTAACCCAAGCTTCAACGACCGACAACCCAAGTCCGCTAGTTGAATTGAGCCTGTCCCAAGACTGAAAAACTGGGTATGCTATGCGCGGGGTAGGAAACGCGTTAGGTTAATCCGCTCAGTTGCAGCACAGACTTTCGTGTGAACAAAACAAATTTAACAAACCCAATTCATAAATAAAATCCTGCAGCTTTTAAACTGCCATTTTGCCGTTTCGGTTCCTCCCAGCGTCCTAGGCAACTTATTTTGTTATCAGCTAAAATAAATGTAATCTGTATTAACTACTATAATAATTAACTCAAGTACCATGTAATTAGTTGCTGAATACCAATGAATTTGAATTTGAATTTGACTTGTTTCCGCGCGAGCATAAGCGACAGATAATAGTTCCCCGCGCACAAAAATACCTACTTTTCCCTTTGGGCCTGCCCTGACTTGGCTTTAAGGAAAATATAGAAAACTGACGATTTGGGGTTGAGGAAAATATAATAATTTCCAGTTTATCTTGCTATCGCAGGCTAAACATTAGTTTGTTTATGTCAACAATCATGAATATATGAAAGCAATTCCAGTTTTACTAAACCAACAGGCCTCTGTCTGGGCAACGCGAGCATAGAAACTATATTTTACATTACAGTGGAACGCAATTCATTTTTTATTATGTAAAAAGGCAGTAATCTGGAAAGACTATGTGAAATAAACCTTAAAATTACAGCTATCGTCTTACCTGAGATTCTGAGGTCGCAATACGAGCGTTGTTATTGATATTTGAAA